GAGGGGAGCAGTGGGGAGACAGGAGAGGTCTGCTGGGCCCTGTCTGCTGGGTCAGCTCCCTGGCCGGGGATAGAGCTCATGCTGCAGGGGCTGCGGACAGCTTCATAGCGCTGTACTTTGCCACCACCAGGGAAGACACAAGGAGCCACAGTTTAAAAGGGGGAGGGGTGCCCTTCTGTAGTGCTCTCTAGGGGGATTCATGCCTTTGTGGAATTTTATCCATCGTGACTCCATCACTTCTAAGGTCTGGTTGGTTTAACCTGTAAGGACTGGTGATCTTTGGGATGACCCCCAACTGGTCGTGTCCAGTGTCCCCACCTCTGGGTTCCATGTTTCGTGCCCATAGCTGGGATCTTCCATAGCTGGTTTAGTGACTGGTTAAATGTTTCTACCCCCCACCCCCTCTGCTTTCTGGCCTGGTGACGCTTCCAGCCTACATTTTCTACTCTAAGCTTCCCTCAGTTATAGGAACACACTGACTTTATGCATATCAATCACTGCTAAGTATCTGCATCCATTAAAGAGCCCCCTCTACTCCCACCTCACAATAAAGCGGCTGTCCAGCCAGCTTGAACATCTCTCAGGAAAACGTGAAACATTCTGAAGTATGTCTTTGCTTTTCTAAGCGCAAATATGTGAGTCACTTTGGCAAATCTGGCTTCTGTGTATCAAGGATGCTGGAACTCCAAACGTTTGAACTGGCGTTCACATGAGATACCTGCAATCCCAGCAGGCAGTTTCTTTGGGCATTTGATTTGGGTAACACATAATGGAAACAATTTCTGATTTACAGTATAAAGGTCAGCTGGCTCCTGAGTTCTTCGAACATGCTGCGGCCTAGGCCGCGAGGCAGGGACTGGCCGGACCCCCATTTTGTAGGCAGGCCCGTTGACACTCAGAGAGTAGGCAGGGGCTGGCTCTCTCAGAAAATGGGGGTCACAGCCGAGGTTACTGTGAACTGACTCTGAGGACATTTCTGCATTTAAAAGTAGATAAGAAAGGAATCCCCTTTTCCTTGACACATTTACAAGTTGGTCAAAAGCGTGCTGGGGAGGCAGAAAAACCAGTTAGGCTGGTTGGCCTGGAGCATTTGTGTGGTAAAATGTGGTGGGTAAAACATCTAGGTGGTGTTTTAAAAATTCTGGTGTAAAAAGTATAGCTGTATGTTTAGAATTTTAGCAGTCCCTTTTGCTTCTTTTTTGTTTGTGTTTGAGAAGTAACAGATGATTTTCATAAGCCATATATTCAAAGCTATACATAGTGTGAAAAACCCTCCTGGTCATAGATCTCCATTCCCATTCCTGTCCTCAAAGGTGTGCATCATAGGGAAGGTATGGGTTAAAGTCTCAGCACTATCAAGCAATAGTCAGCTACTGAGGCCTGAGTTCGATTCCTGGCCAGGGAGTGACCCACAGGGTGCAGCAGACTTCTCCTGTCTCCCTGCTGCTCCCTTCAGCAGTGTTTCAGTGGATCTGCCTGTTCTGTTCCCTGTCTCTGGTGAACCCTCTCATCTCCCACCTCTCCCCTCACAGCCCCCCAATACCTCTGCTCTATATCACAGTTCTTCTATGCAAAAATATTTTTTTTTAAAGAAATCTCTTAAACAGACTGATCTCCTCCCCATGTTTCTAACCTAACAACAGGCTAGGATGATCTACAGCACATCGGTACTCTGTGGTACCTAGCAGCAGTTAAAAAAGAAAAGGTAAATTCACAAAAACTGACATGAGAAACGGTCCATACTAAGAAAGCAAGTTGCAAAGCCATTCTTTAAAGCACAATTCTATTAAAAGCGTGTGTGCTTACACAGCTACATGCGGACCGTGATGATAGCAATTTTGCAAAGTCAAAAAGGACATTTATCACGCGTGAATAACAATAACAGTTGTCAAGGGGGTTGGGACAGACTGAGGGAGAGCTCGCTGGGAAGTGGACCTTGGGACGGAAGTTTTGTTAATGCCAAAGGCAGGCCAGGAACCCACCAATGCAAAGGGTCTGGGCAAAGGTGCCCGGGGGTTTCAGGGCGCCCCAAGTCCCAAAAGAGCTCAGAAACATGGTCAAAGAGACTTGGGTTGGACTGAGGCAAGGGTGAGAGAGCCACGATGGGGAGAGGTGAGGCCCCCCAAGGGCTCTCGGCAAGCGAGCAGGTGGCGAGGGGGCTGAGCTGTGCCTTTGGTCTTTTCTTGTTCCTCACAGTCTGGTGTAGAAATACATGGCCAGCAGCATCACGGGGAGCTAGATGAGGAGACAGTCATGGGAGGGGCGGCCCAGCCCCCCACATCCCACCCAGCCGGCAGGCTCCCACTCTCACCGTCCACATCAGGATGGCAAACCCAAACCACGAGATGCCCCACGTGTAGCTGTCGATGGCATGGCTGATGTGCTCGAAGCAGCCCTGGACGGAGGGGACGGGGCAGCTCAAGCCGGTGACCTGTGACTTCCGTCCCAGAGCCTGGGTTTCCTCGCCTGCCCGCAGGGTCCACGGCACCCCTGCCTCCCAGGCATGCCCGGCCGTGGGACTGCCCTGGGGTGGCCAGGAAGGTCTGAGGGGGGCTTTGTCTAGAGCTGCGGCCTCCATGTTCCCAGGGCCTGAAGAACACCTTTAGGGTCAGCCGCTCAGCTAGAGACAGGCCGAGGGGGCCAGGACCCTCAGGGGAGCCCCTCATGGAGGCGCCTGCCCCGACTTGGAAGCAGCAGGAACAAAAGCTCCGGGCTGTGTCTTGGGGTTGTTACTGACCAGGAAGCCTCTGAACCTCAGTTTTCCAGCCTGTGAAGTGGCCACCTGCACAGCCTGCTCCCCAAAGCAGGGTGGGGGTTCCATGAGAGGGCACCGGCAAGCACCGGGGCTGCCCTCTCTGGCGGTGGGGTGCTCGCCTGCCCCTTGCAGCGGCTGAAGCACCTGGTGCACCTTCGCTGCACCCTGAAATCAAATCCCAGCTCCTCGCTCGCTAGCACGTGACTTCTCAGCCTCCCCAGCTAGGAAATGGGGTCACTACCATCTCGTCCGCACAAGGCTGCGGTGACCACAAGCAAGCAAGACCACGGTGGGAGCCGGGCCGGGGGAGGCTGGCCGCGGGCCCGCTGCCCGGCCGCGTTATCATCGCGGCTCTCGCTTCCCGACAGCCGGAGACGGACAGGTGTGGGGATCTGGCTCAGACAGAGGCGGGAAGACAGCAGCGGGGAGGCAGCAGAGGCAGAGGGCCGGGCAGTGGCGGCAGTCCAGCAGCTGCGGCCGGGACACACCTTGGTGAACAGGTAGTCCAGGTGGCCCAGGCGGCAGCCTTCTTCACTGAGGGGGATGAAGTTGCCTGTCCGGCGACAGCACAGAGGGGGCCAAGGGAACACCCCCTCCGGGGTGGCCGCCCGGAAGGCCGATGTGAAGTTGACCCAGTCCAGGGGGCCCGAGGTGCCGCAGCACTGTTGCTGGGGAGAAAGGCGGGGTCAGGCGGCCTGTGGCTGGGGGGCCGGGGGGGGGGGGGACAGCCAGAACCCCCGCTGCCGGGAGCCCGTGACCGCCTGTGTATGAGCAGGATTCTGTCCCAGCACTGTGAGGCCAGGCGTCGGGATCCAGTCCACTTGTGATTTGTCTTGGGGGTTCTGTTGAGTCAGTGGTCAATGAAACCTGGGATAAGGGACCCCAGACTCTGGCTCCGCTGGCCCCTGTGGGTTCCAGTGCTGCCCCCAAATGGTGAGAACACAGGCTGTGCCTTCGGGGGTCCTGCATGTGCCCCCGTTGGGCCTCACGGAGAATGTGGCTTCTGGAACCTGGCGGCCTGGGTTGGACTCCTCCTGGCTCGGTGACCTGGTGCGAGTCACTAAGCTTTTGCCTTGGTTTCTCATTGCTAAGGGGCTCATTGTCACCACAGGCAGCAGCGTTTTCACGGAGGCAGTGTGTGCTGGTTGAGGGCGGGGGCTCTGGGCCCAGAGCAGCCTTGAACCCCAGCTCTTGCCAACCACATGGTGCCGGGCAAGCGACACTGCGTGTTCGCGCATCTGCAAGATGGCAACAACCACGCCCGACCCTCTTAAGAACCTCCCCAGGGCCTCCCTGGTGGCTCAAGGCCTTAAAGCGCAGCACTATTATGAAGCTGTCAGCAGCCCTGCAACAGGAGTTCGATCCCCGGCCAGGGAGCTGACCCACGTGGCGCAGCAGACCTCTCCTGTCTCCCCGCTGCTCCCCTCAGTAGATCTGCCCATTCTGCTCCCCACTCTGTCTCTGGTGAACCCTCTCATCCCCACACCTCTGGCCCGCACCCCAGTTTTTGTGTGCACAAAGAAATAAATCTTTCAAAATTAACAAAATAATCTCAAGAGTGGCTATCGCCTGCCAGCAGCGTAATGGGAACCCCCATTAAGGCAGAAGCCCGGCTCCCCGCCTCTTGGCCCACCCAGGCACCTCCATCATGATGCGGTCCCATAGGCGGGTCAGCTCCCGGCCCTGGGCTGAGTCTGCGCCGTAGAAGGTCAGCATCTGCTGCGTGATCAGCGCTGGGCTGGACACCATCTGGGCAGGGCCAGGAAAAACAGGGGGGTTGGTGGGGAGAAGGGGCCCCCCTCCGCCGGCCTAGACACCCCACGCTGCTCAGCCGCGCCCTGCCCGGCTCACGTAGTCCCGGTGGGTGTAGGCCGTGATGCAGGAGGCGCACTCAAAGATGTAGACGACGAGCATGAGCACCAGGTACTGGGGAGAGGGGACGGGACAGCCGTGAGCGCAGGCCTGTGACGTCACGCCCCCTCCCGCGGCGGCGCCATGGGCAGAATGTAACTTGCTTTCCGCGCGTGTCCAGGTGCGATAGCGCCTCCCTGCCGATGTAGCTGGAGCCTTCCCCTCCCTGCCCTGCCCCCCACCTCCTCCCACTCACCCCAACCCCACTCAGCTCCAGACACACTAGACTCCTGACCCCGCTGCTTCTGAGACGTGTTCTCACTGGCCCCTGCATCCCGAAAGCTTTGCCTATAGATTCTCACACAGCTCACACCCTCGCTCCCCCAGGTCGCCCCCTGGCTCCCCAGCTCCAGATCTTCCTGCTGGGGTCCCTGTCACAGCATCCTCCCCTGCTGGGGGCGAAGGCTTGGATGATATGCTCCCTCTGTAGCCCCAGAGGCTAGCACAGGTCTTTGCACCATCCATGGTTGCTGAATGAAAAGTAGCAGCTCTCGGGGGGACCGAGACACACAGCTGTGGAGGAAGCAGCAGACCCCACTCTCCTGGCTGTGTGCCCCCTGGAAACTCAGCCTCCTTATCTGGTAGCTGGGTAGTGAAGCACTAACTTCAGAAGGCTTCTGGAAGGATCAGGGGAGTCCTTGAAACCACTGAGCCCGGGGTCAGGCTTCTGAGGATAAGTGGATCGTGGTGGCTATTGTTGAGATGAAGGAAGCTCTCAACTGCTCAGGTTTAAATCCTGGTTCTGGCCCTCCCTGGTGGTGCAAGGGTTAAGTCTCAGCCCTATCAAGCTACCTCCAGCCACTGCAACAGGAGTTAGGAGTTCCCCAGCCAGGGAGCTGACCCACATGGCACAACAGACCTCTTCTGTTTCCCTGCTGCTCCCCTCAGCAGCGTGTTTCAGTCAGCCTGTTCTACTTCCCACTCTGTCTCTGGTGAATCCTCTCACCCCCCACACCTATGGTCTGCACCCCAGTTCTTGTGTGCATAATAAAATATTTAAATAAACCCTGGCTCTGTTATTCACTTGCTGTGTGACCTTGGGCAAGTGGCTTCACTTCTCTGAGCTTTGGTTTCAGCTTGCCAGTTGGGATCACTGTGCTGATGATGCAGACAGATCATGATGGGTGGTAAAAAGCGATGAGCTAATCTCTGTCATTCGCCCATTGAGTGTCTGAGCGGTCATCAAATGCGCTCTTACCCTGGTTTGTTATCCCTGGGGCTCATGAGTGCAGACTGGAGACCCACTATGAGGTTCAACGCCCAGTCCTGCTGCCCAGGACCCTTCCTCTCGTATAGAGCTTCCTTCCCTTGCACCCCAGTTTTCTTTAAAGTGGGGGTGACAACCAAGCCTAGGGTTTGGGGCTGTAGGAAGACCAAATGGAACGACGGCCTGAAAGCACTTGTTGGGGGCCATGCTGAACACCCACTGTGGCTGTGAGGGGCTCTCGTGTCTGTGATGATCTGTGTGCCCACCCGTCCCCAGGCCCCTGGAGACCCCCCGGGCTCACCGTAAGGATCATGGAGCGGCGGCGGCAGAGCGTGGCTCCCACACCGAAGCTGGCCACCACGAAGAAGGAGAAGCCACAGAAGATCGCGATCCAGGCTCCGGCGAAGACGTCGTCTTTGCCTGAGACGCCCATCAGCGGGTACACGTGGTACTGGTCGGCTGTGACCCACACGGTCTCGGCGAACAGGGCCAGGCCTGACAGCTGGACGGGGCAGCCAGGTGGGAAGTCTGCTCAGGGCGGCAGCCCTGGCTGCGTGCGTCTCAGCGAGCAAGCGCCTTCCCTCCCTGCTCAGAGCGCCCGCTGCTGTCTTGGTCAAGCGGGCCCAGAATCCGAGTGGCAGAGAGGTTGCCAGCCGTGAGCAGCAGTATGGCTGGGCAGCTCCCTGCCGCCCACTCCACCCTTGCAGACTAGCACAGAGGAGCACTGGTCAGCCCACCCGCCCTAAATAGGGTTGCTATATCCTGAGCAGGGACTCTGGGCAGTCTCAAATCCTAATATCTCAAATATAACACCTGTTGGCCCAGCCAGTCCACTTGCAGATACCCCTGGCCCTGCACAACCCATGAGGCTATTCCCTGTGGCCCTGGGTGAGGACCAGGAATCCACGCGGAGGAGTCCTATGCAGCTGTGAGCAGGGAGGGAGGACTCGTGTGCAGCGGCCTATGGACCAGGCTTGCAGCAGGATGGGGGATGAGCGACATTTGGGGCAAGAAAGGGGGGGAATTGGTCTATGTGACCCGATTTTCTGGCATTTGCTTCAAGAAATACTGGAGAAATGAAAAGTCTGGTGAAGCAGAGGGGTGGGGTGGGGAATGGGGCAGAGGAAGACTTCTCAGTGGTTACTGCTGCAGCAACAGAACTGACGACCCTTTCTGTGTGACAGGCATCCCGTCTTTCAGCATTGTCACCCCCACTAGAGTGGCCTCGTGTGCCATCGCTCCCTTCTAGAATATCCCTTCTCTAATTCCTCTGAATCTCTCAGCAGACCCATTCTGCCCCCACTTATAGATGAGAAAACCGACTCCCAGGGCTCTTCACTGGCCGCCCCTCCCACCATCAGACAGTGGCCAGTGGGGATTTGGACCTGGCTCGTGTGGTGACACAGACAGAAGCCAACACCGCCAGGGTTCCTGCCAATGGGGCTCCGGGTGCTGCAGCTACGTCCCTCGTGACGATGACAGCCAGCATTTCCCAAGTCCTTTTTCTAAGCTGAGAGCCACACCGGGTGAATCCCACAAGGACCCCACAACGAGGACACAATCTATAGCTGACAGATGGGGAAATGGAGGCACAGAGGAGTCCTCGTTCTGGTCACCAGCGGGCAGAGGCACAGTGGGACTCCACCCAGGCCACTCTGACTTGCACTCTGGGTGTTCCTGAGGCCTGGGCCCCCTCCTGGCTCCCAACACTGGGGGTGTCTCACCAGAATGATGATGTTGCCCACGACCAGCAGCCCCACCACAGCCGGAGACCCCTTCTCTGCCTCTGCCGCCGCGGAAGCCATGGTGCTGCCTGGGACACGGGTGGGATGGGGCCAGGCAGGGCGGGAGAGGCGGGGCCCCCAGCCCGGCCAGCTGCACCCCTGCACACCCACCTCCCACCCCCAGCTGTGGGCACTCTATAGAAGAGGACACAGAGGCAGGTGGGGTGCGCAGTGACTGGCCCTCTGAGCCTCAGACCACCCACGCCTCCTGCCACACCCAGGTCCCCGGAGCCCCCTCCTCACCTTCTTTGCCAGGAGCCTCTGTGGCCAGCCCGTCCGGCAGAGGCTCCCTATATATGCCAGGCCCCTCCTTGGGCCAGTCTCTGAGGAGCGGCCGGTGTCTGGAAGAGGGCACACTCCTCCCCACCCCCCAAGTTTGTGATTTACAGACTGGAAATTCCAGATTGTGCTGATGTCTGGCCACCCGGGCAGGGCGATGTGGGGCCGCTGACTCCTGGGCTGGCTGGAGGTGGTGGGGCTGGGGGTGGCCAGGGAGGGTGACTACACCACCGACATCTTTCTCCTCAGGTCACAACAGCCTGACGCAGAAGCTGAGGTGTCTGTGATCACGCGAACCCGCTTGGCATGGCTGCCTGCCAGAGGGAGGGCTCTCCTGGAGAGAGATGCACATTCACTGACATCCAGGAATTTATATTCTAACCAGGGGAACTTGAGTTTTAAGAATTGTATTTGCTCGGCCCTCCCTGGTGGCACAGCGGGTCAAAGCGCAGGACCACAAAGCTGGCCGCAGCTACTGCAGCAGTTCAATCCCCGGCCAGGGAGTGACCCCCAGGGCGCAGCAGACCTCTCCTGTCTCCCCGCTGCTCCCCTCAGCAGTGTGTTTCAGTAGATCTGCCTGTTCTGCTCCCCACTCTGTCTCTGGTGAATCCTCTCACCCCTGCACCTCTGGCCTGTACCCCAGTTCTGTATGTATAAGTGAATAATTCTTTAAAAAAAAAAAACTATTAAAAAAATTGTATGTGCTCAAGAGGCGGCCAAAACAAGATGTAAAATTAGGGTAACAATGAGCTTAGAGCGGCTCTAGCCGGCCTCCCCTTGCCCTCCTCATTCCTGGCCTGGCTGCTCTCTGAAGTGCTGTTCTCTTTCCTGGCCCTGGTCACGTGCTGTTCCCACAGCCCACACAGCCTGCCCCCCACGACACCTGGAAATCCCTTCCAGAAGTAGGGAGCTTCACGCCCTCTGGAAGCTGGAGCTGAGGCCAAGGCCAGGTGAGTACCTGAAGGACACAGTCCTTGTCCTGCTCTCAGTTCCCGGAGGGCATTCAACAAGCGCAGGGACACGGGAGGCCTGCTGTGCTGAGGGCGGCTAAGCAGCACCCTTGGCTAGAGCTCCTCAAGCGCCCACTGAGGTCGGGGAGCAGCCAGGCAATGAGACGACACGTGGCAGCCAGCTGCCCCCCAAAACCTGTCTGCCACCCATTTCTGGACAAGTACTTTAAAAAGTACAGAAGGGTGGGGGTCCTTGTCTTTCTCTCTGCTATCTCCACATCCTGCACCCCATCTCACTTCCATGCCTCAGAAAGGTCTAGAAATAGCACCTGGGCATTTGCTTGGAAGCTACAGGGTGCCATCTGGTGGCAGTCTAGCGAAATGTCCTGGGCATAGCATTCATGGCTTCTTCCTGGAGCTGTGGTTTTTTAAGATTTATTTTTTATTCACTTATGCACATAAGGACTGGGGTGTAGGCCAGAGGTGCAGGGGGTGAAAGGATTCACCAGAGACAGAGCGGGAAGCAGAACAGGCAGACTGGCTGAAACACACTGCTGAGGGAGAAGAAGGGAGACAGGCGAGGTCTGCTGCCTGTGTGGGTCACTCCCTGGCCAGGGATCAAACTCATGCTGCAGTGGCTGCAGATAGCTTGGTAGCATTGAGACCACCAGGGAGGCCTCACCCTGGCGTTCTGGAGAAGCTTCCACGAATCAACAAATTATTTCGACTTTTATCTTCTGAGCAAAAGTTTCCTGAAATAATCAAGCTATGTTGATCAAGACAGTAAAATAGGAATGTGGACAGTGGTTATGCAGGTGAGGATGGCTCCAGGCCCCTGAGGGGAAGAGAAAGCCAGGGAGGTGCAGAGCTGGGCCCTGGATGCCAAGGTACTGAAAAAAAAAAAAATCCTGCTCTGGGGGCTGCTGTCCCTTGTACAGCATTGCACAGCCCTGCCGATCGAAGCCATGTCCACTCTCCTCTTGCCATCGAGCTTCCTGACCCCAGGGGAAGTCACGTGGCCTTCCTGTCCCCTGCCCTTCTGGCTCTGGTCAATCTTCAACTCAATCATCAAGATGCAAAAGGAGTGTAAGATCTGGCTGGGCTTCCCTTTCCTCCCAGAACCCACTGTGGTGTATCTGCCAGCGGGCGAGTCACCCATGGGACCTTGTGCACACTCCAGGTGTGTGGTTGAGAGGCAGGTGGCCCACCCTGCAGCTTCCAAGGGGATGCCCTTGGCCTTCAGGCCTAGCATGACGCCTTTCAGTCACCAGGCAGGACAGTCTCCGGCTGGACAGACTTGGGCTCCCTCTGTTCTCGGCTCCTCTTTGTCTGGGATGGGAGAAGGGGTGAAGGAATTGACTGGGAACTGTGGGAAATGACCTCCTTGAGGCAGGAAGTTGAGACAGTGTGGGCTTCAGGCCATCTGTAGCGTGGCAGACAGAAGGTTGCAACTGCCTTGGGGATGTTGAGTACATGGGTTCCCACCCCGAGCTTTTCCTGTCCTGAACACTCTGCCCTTTGTCTGCTCTGGACTGGGGCCATCCTACAGGATCCAGAGGTCCGCCGTTGGGCCCCTGCAGCAGCTCTGTTCCCTCAGCAGGCCTGGCCCCTGCTGCCCGCACACCTAGCCAGCCTTGAACTCAGGCAGTGGAACGTGGCTACTCCTGACTTGAAATCCCAGACCTGCTTTTTGCTGTGTGGCCTTGGATGAGTTACTTAACCACTCTGCGCCTTGGTTTATTCACATGCACAATGAAGATGTGAATTCCTACGCCAGAGAGCTCTGGGGAGGAGTAAATGATATTGCGGCCTCCCCTTAAGACCCAAGCCTCAGCTGTCCCAAGACCCATGGAGGCACGTTGCTCTTTTATGGGGCCAGGTCTAGGGGAAACGATCACGTGGCCAGGAGAGAGCGCAAGCTGGCTCCTGTCTACTGAACTGTCATGGGCCAAGCCTTCTGGATGTCTTACTGACTTACCGTGGCTCCCCCCTTAGTCATCCAAGATCCCTGGGGACACCTGAACTATGGCCAGAACCCCAAACACACTGTGCTTCTTCCCTAGGGTCAAGTCTAATTTGTGTAAGAGGCAAAGTAAGCTATTAACCACAATAACTAAAAATAAAATAGAGCAGTTATGACAGTGCATTGTCGTTAAGTTATGTGAATATGGGTTTTCTCTCAAAATACCTAATGGCGCCTATGATTTTCAGAATGCAGCTGAGCACAGGCGAGTGGAAACAGGAAGATAAAGCACATTAGGGGGCTACTGTAGCTGGTCGGAGTAAGGGGTGACTATTACCTCCACGCCTGGGTTTTCAGGTCAACAGCCTGACTGGTCGTTAGTTATGACTAGCTAATCTGGACTAATTACAGCTAGCTAGGCATGGCTAGTTAACCGTGACTAGTTATGTCCAGCTAATCATTAAATACAACTAGTTAGCCACGACTGTATAACTAGTTAGTTGTGACTAGTCAGCCATGACTAGTTGGTCACAATTAGTTGAGCAAGTTAACCAGTCCCGCTTAACTAGTTGTGCTGAACTAGCTACAACTATTTGTGCAGCTCTAGCTGCAACTAATTAATGACTAGTTAACTAGTGCTGAGCCAGTAATGATTAATGCTGAGCTAATCAGCTGCAATTAACCGGCCATGCTTAACTACTCAACTGACCCAGCTTAACTAGTTTTGCCAAACTAGCTGCGTGTTAAGTAGGCCTCACTAATCTGCAGCCGAGGACGGTCCAAGCGTGGCAAGGAGGCGCCAGCTGGTGTCTGAAGAGGCAGCCGCGGGCAGCCGCAGCAGGGGCAGACCTTGAGCCTGGAGCCAGCCTCGGCCCTGTCAACTTCCCTTTGCTCAGTTCTCCACACTGAAGCAGCCGGTGTGCAGGAATTACACGAGCAAGCGGGAGCTCAGGCGGGGTCGCAGTAGAACACCCGAAGGAAACGCACGCAGTGTAGCAGTGTCAGCACAAACCAGCGTGGGCTGACGTGCGCCGCGTGAGGTCGAGACCGCACCCGAAACCGCTGCTGGTGTCTGAGCAGAACTGCGACCCGGCAGCCTGGCAGACTTTCCCTGGAAATCTTTCCTTTCACTCGAAACCTTCGTCGTTTTGATTCTCTGTGCGTCCTCCGAATGCCATTAGCTTCGACGGGGGAGCGTTTACAGCCTGCCTGCTCACGAGCCGCCGCGAAGACCCCTCCCGAGCGCCACTTCCCTCCACACAGATCCTCTCTGCCTACCGGAGCGTGCGCCAGCGGAGGGTGCTGGCTGGGCTGAGGAGCACCCTCCAGAAGGTGCTCGGCTGGTCGGTGGCTTGGGAGCTCCCTGCTGACAGGCTGGGTGGGCGGAAGTTCTTCGTCTGGGGCATCACAAAAGTTCTTCATTCCGCCTGTTTAAATGACGTCTAGTCGCTGTCGAGACGGACAGAAAGAGCAGCCGCAGAGCCGAGGGGAAATGTATCTCGTGCAGAAGACTGTCGACTCAGTACTAGGAACTCGGGGCTGTTTCTCAGGTATGCTAACGGTCGTGGGACCAAGCCTGCATCTCCAAGAGATACATGTACTAACTTCTGGACAAATTATGATCTCCAGGGCCTTCCAGGGCTATGTTTCAGCACTACGAAGCTATCACCAGCTGATTCGTGTGTCCCCAGCAGGAGGTGACCCACAGGGTGCAGCAGACCTCTCCTGTCTCCCCGCTGCTCCTCTCAGCTCTCCGCCTGTTCTGCTCCCCACTCTGTCTCTGGTGAATCCTCTTACCCCGCATCTCTGGCACACACCCCAGTTCTTGGATGCATAAATAAATAAAATAAATCTTTAAAAACAAAACCCAAACTGTCCAGAATCACTCCAACAACCCCTCCCCGCCCCCGGAGGTACCAGTCCCAGCCCGGCTTGTGCAATCACCTAGGTCCTTTACACAGACACCGTCTTAACCCTTCTCCGAGTATTTATTAGTTAAGCCATGGTTTAGGATCCCAGGGTGGGGATCGCCACGTGCCCAGGTCCCCCTTCACCACCCTGGGAAAAGGACAGAGGGGCGGGGGGCGGGGGGAGCCAGTTCAGATCTTGCCGGGAAACGTGCCTTCTGCCCGGCGGTCGTCCCAGGTCGACACCTGCGGAAAGAGAGCTGCTGTGAGCCCCTCCCTGCCGAGCCTGAGGCCGCCTCTGGGTCCCCGCTCTGCTCACGAGCTCACTTCGCTGTCGGGCAGCAAGTAAGCCCAGTACCTGCACTGCTCCAGGAATCGGGGGGCCGGAGTGACCCAGAGGGAAGAGAGGCACTGTCCCAAATGTGCTGCCCTACTGAGGGGGAAGAGGTGGAGGAGGAATAAGAGACAGAAACCCCAGGCTCTGCAGGGTTGTCTCTGGAGAGATATGGGGCTGTGCAGAACTTCAAGGGTGCGCCTGTGGCTAGTTTTAGCATCAAAGTAAACACTCAGTGATGTCTGTCAGGACAAAAGAGACCTCCCTGGTGGCCTAGGGGTTAAGTCTCAGCACCATCACTGCGGCCTGAGTTAGATCCCCGGCCAGGGAGCTGACCCACAGGGCACAGCTGACCGCCCCTGTCTCTCCACCGCTCCCCTGAGCAGTGGATTCCAGTAGACCCGTCTGCTTTGCTCCCCACTGTCTCTGGCGAGTCCTCTCACACACCCTCCTACTTCTGGCGCCCAGTTCTTCTACTAGTCAATAAATACTTAGCAGGAAGTGGGCGGTGGGTAGAGGGTGGTGGTGGTGGTTAGGTTAGGGACAACAGAAGAGGGACATGAGGCAGCTGTGAAGAGGTGGATCTACGCATAAGCACATCCCCACAGAGTGTGGGCACTTGACGCATCTAAAGAACTCATCTCTTTCTGTGGAGATGTGGCCCAGCGGAGCTCTCTTCTGTCAGCCGCTATTCCTAACTCACTGCTGTTCTCTGGCCGAGGAGCAAGCCCGCCAGGAAGCCACTGTGCAGCCATGACTTAAGGCTACCGGGAAGACGCCCACAAACGGCAAACGGGGGTAGGGGTGGGTGGGTGGGGTGCATCCCTGAATTCCAATTACTCTAACTGGATATTCTTTGAGACGGTGTGTGCCCCGCCGTCAGGGGCACAAAGGAGCACCTCAGAGCGGAGGGCCCAGTTTGGATGCCTACCGAGACTCAAGAGTCCCTAGAAGAAAAACTCCACGGGGTGCGAGACCAGAGCTGAGCAGGGAGGCTGGAGCAGGCCTGAGGAGGCCTCCCCCGCCCCTTGGGCTTGCTCCCACCCCGCCTACTCTCTCGGGCTGACTTGGGTTGGCAGCAGGGTCCCTTTTCCCCCAATCCTTGCACCCTGCAGATGCCTGTGGCCATGGGTCCCTACGGACAGTCCCGGCCAAGCTGCTTCAGCCATGTAAACACAGGCTTTGCAATGGGCTGCGCCGTGGGCATGGCAGCGGGTGCTGCCGGGCACCTTTCCTTCTGAGAATTGGAATGCAGGGTCGGGCGCGGCTGGGCGGTGCCGGGAAAACCATGAGGCAGCGTGGCATCACCTTTGGCACCTTCATGGCCATTGGGATGGCACCCAGCATTCATCAGGGCAGGGCCTACTGCATCCAATGTCTCCCTAGCCCTAGCCCATATTCAATGAAACAAACCTGAATTTGAGTGTTAAAAAAGAAAAGAAAAACTCCATGGGGTGAAGGTTCTAGAACCCAGATTGTTTCCAGAAAAGGAGACCCAAGTGACTCACAAGGCCCTCCTGAGACTTTTTTTTTTATAAGATTTCACAAGATCTTTTCTCAATTGGAAAATAAAAACTGGCGGGGAAAAATGCTTTTGATGCGCGTGCTGGGAAAGCGCGGGGCTCTTGTCTCCCGCCCTCCCGAGCACACACGATGGGGCGCGAGACTGAACTTTTTTTTTAAACAGGGGACGCCTGGAAGGTGCCACACTAAAGATCAGCCAGGCCAGGAGGATGAGGAACATTCTGGTGGCTCTTCTCTGTATTTTACCCTGTGAAGCTGTTATATTGCTTATAGGAAAAAAAAAAAAAAAAAAAAAAAAGCAAAACCTTTTGGGCCGAGGAAGCCAGTAGCCGAGGGAGCAACAGCACCTGATGCCTGCACAGGGCAGCTCGGCGGCGTGGAGACTGGAGGGGCAGCGCTGGGGCAGGAAGCAGGCACCCCGCACCCTGGCTACAGCACTCACCCCCATCCCGGGCCGAGGCGGGAGGGGGATGCTGAGGGAGCGCAACACTATGTGAGCCAAGATCACCGGTGTGTGTGTGGGGGGGGGGCCCCGACAGGCAGGCACGCAGCACGCAAAGTCACCAGGACTGCGGCCGGAGGCGGGGGGCAGTCAAGGAAGCAGAGGAAGAGCGCTCCTCAGGCTACTGTTCTTGAGGAACGAGCCCCAAAGCTGTACCTCAAGGAGGCTTAAAACCAGACTGTAAGCGACATTTTGAAGTAATGGGCAGGTCTGTAGGCACTGTCCTTAAAAACAAAACTAGAGGCCTCAAGACACACTGGGAAGTCAAAGAAGCCAGACAAGACCACACCACACGACTCATCCACTCACAGCAAGTGGACGGCTGAGGTTGACATGGGACCGAGGAGTGGGCCCACAGCAGTAACTTCCTGGGAGGGCGCTGGGGAGCACCAGAAGGCTCTGCCTCATACTTTACTCTGCCCATCACGTTTGTTTTAAAAGAGCATTGTTACTTTCTAAAGGTACCTGATTTTACTTGAGACACATGGCTTTATTCGGTCTGACAGCTCTGAAATGATCACGATCGCCATGTGCATTTCTGCATAAATGTTTCTTGCAGTCAATGGGGTCTTTCACTTGATGAAGTCGCAACTTTTTTTAATGGTTCTTTTATTTATGCATACAAAAGCTGGGGTGTAGTGTGGAGGGCAGGGGAAGTGGGAGGATTCACCAGAGACAGAGTGGGGAGCAGAACAGGCAGATCGACTGAAATGCACTGCTGAGGGGAGCAGCGGGGAGACAGGAGAGGTCTGCTGCGCCCTGTGGGTCACTCCTTGGCTGAGGATTGAGCTCAGGCTGCAGTAACAGTTGATAGCTTGAGAATCCTGAGACGGTAACCTCTACGCCACCACGGTGGCCCGGAAACAACAATATTAAGCATAAATTCTTCACCAAAAAAAGGCTATAGCACAGCATAACAGATGGGGGTAACAGATCAGACTGCAAGGACTGCCTCGTGTGTATTTTGGGGGACACACACTGCAGTAGGGACAAGATACAGCTGGGATTTGCTTCTGAATAAGTCAGCAAAGGAAATAAGTAAAAGAAAGGGGAACTTCCCTGGTGGTGCAGGGGTTAAAGCCTCAGCGCTGTCAACAGCCACTATGACCTGAGTTGGATCCCCCATCAGGCACAGGCATGTGTGACCCCCAGGGCGCAGCAGACCTCTCCTGTCGCCCCGCTGCTCCCCTCAGCAGTATATCTCAGTATCTGCCTGTTCTGCTCCCCACTCTGTCTCTCACGAGTCCTTTCATCCCCACACCTCTGGCCTACACCCCAGTCCTTGCATGCATAAATAAGTAAGTCTTTTAAAAAAATAAAGAGAAGAAAAGGAGAGAAGGAAATGTGGAAAACCTAGTAACTATTTAATCTGGTTAATGGTGTAACTGAGGGCCCCCGGTTATTCTACTTTGTGCGTATCTGAAGATGTATACAGGAATACAGGACAGGGCTCTCAGACGGCGCGCACAGGGCCAGGCCCCCAGAACTGGGTACCGCAGAGGGCGCGAGCGAGATGGCTCTGGCAAGGGAGATCCCTGGTGGCCTGGTCTGAGAGCCCTGTCTGGTTCAGAGTGTCGGGCAAAGACGGGAGGGAGGGAGTTCGGAGCCCCAAGTGGCGGACGCCGAGCCCTCCCTTGCTTCTCGCCGACAGGCTCCCCCCACGTCGCCTCATGCTCCTCTCTAAGACACCCCAGGCCAGCACCCAGGGCAGGAGGAGGCACATACCCAGGACAGGGGGCAGAGGGACTTGTACACTCGCCGGTACCACTCGCAGACGGAGACATCCCCGCCTTTCGCCGTCATCGCCTTCTCGCAGCGGTGGAAGTCTGTGGAGGGGGGTTCAGAGCCAGCTCAGACCAAGCGCTGGAACACATTTCTAATGAAACTCAAACTCGCCGGTGTTATGCACGCACACAAAACAAGTTTCATGAGGAATGCACACCAAGCACACTCGAAAGAGCTACTACGTTCACCTCACTGAACTCAATTTGTAAACCGTAGTGGACTGTTTTTCAACTTGAAAGTTCTGGGATCAGGAAAGATGGGGCAACACAAGGGGCATGTGTGGGGGTGACGGAGGCCAGAGCCAGGGCAGGGAAGGGGAGATGGCCTAAAGAGGTACACAGAGCGAGGGGGAGACGCAATGTGCTCTTAACTTGCTATTTTTGGGTAGCAGTAACTTATTCCTAACAAAAACCACCCCAAAACATATTTTTATAGTTGAGTACATTCCCACTAGCTGCATATATTATAAAGTGTTTAGTCATTACATATTCACAATGCATTGTTTCTAGTTTCTTCTTATTTTTCCAAAATTTATTAAGCTGTAACTGACATCTAGCACCGTGCGAGTAAAGTGTACAGTGTAACTTGACTTGTGGTGAAATGCTCACACAATACGTTTAATTAACATCTGTCATCTCATGTAATTAACAAGAAGAAACTGGCTTCTCCCCCATGAGGACCCTTGGAACAACTTCCGCACATCACACAGCAGAGCTGGCAGCACCTGACACCCCAGGACTTATTTCTCCTATCGCTAGGACCACGTTCATCCAGTCTCCCCACCCCAACCTGGCTTTTTAAAAAAATCTACAATTAAAAAAGCTACTCCAGACATGCCACTCCTGGACACATGTAAGTGGAAATAAATTACATGTGCAAGAATATTTAGTTGTGAGAGTGCCAAACTAGAAACCACAGAAGTGTCTAAGAAGACATGGTGGAAACTGCACAGCAGGGCAGAGGAGCCGAGCACATGCCGCTGTGAGGCCGAATCTAGAGATGTTCTTTTAGCTGCACATTACGTCTTATGTATGCTGTGCACGTTGTAACACCCACCACACTCACACACTTGCACACAAGTCTTTAAAAAAAAAAATCCATGGCAAGAGTCAAAGTCTATGACCTTGGCGCAGATCTTGAGCACACTAGTGGTGACGAGCAAGGATGTCCAGAATGGAGACTGGGATGCGCAGGTGACCTCCCCGAGGAGGCAAAGGTGACCACCCTGAAGCATGTGATCAGGGGAAGCTCTGCACCCCCAGCGCCCCCACGCCCTGCTTACCCAGGTAGTTCTGCCAACAGTTCCGGGTCTGGTTCTGGTTGGGGAAGCGGCTGTCAAAAGGAGCAGTCTGGTAGTTCCTAATTTTGGTCTTGATATCTTCTGCCATGGTGCTGACTTCTGTGGGCAAAGAGTGTATGTTGGCAGGTGTTCTACAGAGCCTGCAGGGGGGCGTCAGCCTGCCCAGGGCCAGTGGAAGCCCAGACACAGAATGCCACGGGGTATGAACACCCCCACCCCCTCCAGAGGGGCGGGACAGGACAAACCCATACTTCTAGATGGGGCAACGCCTTAAACATCCTAAAATCAGATCTTTCCCCAAATAACACGAGCTAACAGTCACTGAGCACTTACTGCAGGGCAGGTGATGTTTTGCACACTCCTCTCCTACAGGCACTCTGAAAGGATGAAACTATTACTGTCACTGTTTCCCAAAGGACAGGGTGTCTAAGTGGCTTCCCAAGGTCACAGAGCATGCAAGTGTGGCACTGCCTTCCACTGCTGACAGAACCTCCACTGCAGAGATTCTTAATGTTTTCCGGGCCACAAACTCCTCAGGGGTCAAAGGAACCCTTTCCTGGAATATGTCTACATGCGTTTTAAAAAGGCACAGGATTCCAAAGAAAACTGGTTAACATGGAGCAGAGGAGTTATTAGCTACCACAGATTTTTAGTAATGTGCACTTCATGAGAGAAAATGCTATTTTCGGGCCTGTGCAACCATAATGTGATAAAGGATGACATGTGCCTTTACTCACTAAGTCACAGATACCGCTAACACCACTGAAGTATCCATTCCTGAGGAGTGAAAGCTACATCTCAATTAGAGGTGTCAATAAGATGTAATCCCTCCCCCCCCATTCCAGTGCTAGCACCCTAGATTTAGGCTGATTCTGGGGAAACCAAGGTTATAAAACCTCCAGTAGGGAGGTGAAAAACTTTTCACCCAGCAACCCGAGAAACAGCCTCTCTTCCAGGGAAGTCCACCAGCCGCGTTACACGCTAGCGCACAGGCCAGAACTAATTTCAATTCAAGCGGCCTAAGACAGTGATGGCGCTGATCTTAGCCTTTAGGGGTGGGGAGGTGTCAGTGTCAGGCAAGGTATAACACCAGCCGCTGGGACGGAGACGCGATGGGAACAGTAGCCTGGGGAGATGTCGTCCCGCTATTTGGGACCGAGGGTAGATCCGGGATGACACTGCGGCCCCGTGAACGTCCACGGGGGAGTGGGGGGCCCGGCCCCGGGAGCCAGGCTGAGGCCACGCCTGCGGCCGGGAGACTAAACGCACTGAGCCCAAACTGGGTCCAAACCCGGGACGCCGTGTGGCCTCGGGGGCTGATCTCGGAACCTCACTACCGACAACCACACGCCCGACCCCCAGGGCTGAAGCGCCCGCGGCGTCCCCGGGCTGAAGGAGGCGGGGTAATGGCCCGCGAAGACCACCGTGAGAACAGGGCGCGGGTCCCCGGGAGGCCGGCCTCCGCCGGCCGGCAACCCCACCTCGTTCTCGGGGGAGGTGGGGCCCTAGCCCACGGTCCCACAGGAGCCCGTCCGAGGGTCCTGAGCCCTCCACACTCACCCAACCACGGCCCTCGCAGCTCAATGTGACCCTCAGCAAAGACGCAGGCGTCGGACCGGAAGCGGAACCGAGGCTGGCCGGAAGCGGGGCGGGCGGGTGACAGAGTAGTCGTCCGGGTGGCTAGCGCGCCTGCGGAAGGCGGTCCCTGAAGCCTCGGGCCACGCCCACTCGCGCGAGCTCCAATTTCCTACTGGGCTGCAGGCCTGTTCATCATTTCCCCAGGCCCAATCCCGTGCTGGCGTGACACTTCTAATGGCTCGGAGCTGAGCCCTGGGAAATTTGCTGCGGGTGCTCATCACCCGCCGGTTTTTACTGGAAAAGGGAGTTCTGGGTCCTTGGACTGGCTGGATAGCGGGCCTGGGAGAACTATCCTAGCGGAAGTACTCCCATTCATGCAAGCATTATTTATTGAACGCTTACATGGGCCAGCTACGAGTTGGGGATGTATCTCTGAACGAAACACAGAAATCGGCATCCTCCTCCTCATTATTATAGGAGCAATTGTGGAGGTTTGAAAATGAACCAGTCTTTCTCCCAGTGCCATTTGTTACATTAGGAGGAATGCCCAGACTCCACCTCCCTGCTCGTGACTCTTACCCCACATCTCAGAAAGCAAATTAACTAAGACTTAAATGGCTAAAGATTCTAAAGATTCTGAATGCACAAGTCCGGTAACACGGAGAGGAGGGGTTATGAGTTAAAGCTTGGGTCTGTCAGAAATTGGTCTAGCTTGGTAAAGGGCAACTCTGTTCCGGTCACAGAAATTTCTCTGACATTTCTCTTTCTCAAAACGGGTCTGTCAGTTATCAGTGCTGCTTGGGAAAGAGCCAGAACCTTCCCCTGCCACAAGCGGTTCAAGCCACTGGCACTTCCAGCTGGGATGATTGCAGCAGCCCGCCCCTGGGTTATTGGCTTCCCTGCAGCTCTCTGCATTCCACCCAGTCAGCCAGAGGGACCCTGTGAATCTCTCAGCACTTTTCTTCCTTGGCCTGGAACCCTCCCTGGGGATCTGATCTGATTCTTGCAGTCTAAATTCAGAATCCTTCCAGTTGATGTACACAATTTCGTCCCCTTTATACAACCTCGTCTTGTACCCCTTTATATTTACAATTCCATTGTTCCAGCCACACTGGCCTCCTTGCAGTTCCTTAAACTTGCAGGCTGGCTCCCCGCAAGGGCCTTTGCACAAGCTGTCCTTTGGCCTGGAATGCGCTTCCTTAGCTGACTTCCTGCTTCACCTTCAGGTTTTTGCTCAAGTGTCATCTTCTCACTATGTCTCAGACGGAATATTTTCAACTACCAACTCATCAGTCTCTACCTCTCTTCCCTATTTGATATCTCCATAGCACTTACCTTCTTACATAATAGATTTTTAAAAATTATGTTTACTTCCTTTTATCCCCCTCAAAATAATTGATCATAAAAGAACAGTTTTTCTCATTCACTGTTGTACCTCCAGCACCTTAAACAATCCCTGGCACATAGGAGATGCTTGTAAATGAATCAGACCCAGTCTCTAACTTGCAATTTACCTACTGTGTTCCCCTTGAAGAACAGACTCAGACAAATTTGCTCCCTCTGCATACCCATCACCTCGAGCACAGTTAGGAACCTAAGTGTGTCTCCGGTACACCCAGCCAGGGGCAGGGTGGGGTGTGGTTGTGGGTGTGTTGGGTCAGTTTCAGTGGGAAGAATGAAGAGCACGGGAGACGAGGTTTGACAGGATATTTTTATTGAGTCGCTGCACCATGTCGGCCCCCAGTGCTGTCGGGGTGGGCCAGACCCGGCACGCGGCCCCCGAAGCGGTACGTGTACTTGCGCCCACCGCTCTTGCGCACGATGTCGCGGCGGTAGTAGTAGCGCAGGCCTCTGCTCAACTTTTCATAATTCATGCCGGGTTTTCTCTTGCGCTCGCCCCACAGGCGCGCCACCTGAGGCGGAGGCAGGGGCTTAGTCCTGTGGGCGGGGATTGGGGTGGTGGGCAGGCTGGGGCGGAGTTTGGGTGCAGCTAGACCTTCCTTCCCGTGGGACCCTTATCAGGTTGATGGGGGTGAGGCGGCGGGCAGGGGCCAAGGACTCGGCAAAGTGAACAGGCTGAACCAGAGGAGACTGGGACCGGACGTGGCGGTCTGGAAGGCTGTCCTACCTCTTTGGGGTCGCAGAGCTGGAACTCGCGGCTGTTACCGGTCCAGCGGATACAGCTGCTTCGCGCCCCGTCTTGGAGTAACTCCAGGAGAAATTGCCACAGTTGAATGGGACCTGCGGGGCGCAGGCAGGTGACTACCCAAGCTTCCCGCCCCAGACTAAGTCGCTTCGGAGTCCAGGTTCCCTCATCTCTGACTTCACCGGCCCAGGTCTCCCCAATTTGGGACCCAGGGGCTCGGAGATCAACCAATCCGGATGAATCCCCATATTGAGGACTCAGTTCGGGGGGGTGGCATCTCAGGGAATTAGGATTTTGGCTGCTTAATTTGGCGACCCACGCATCCAGATCCTCATCTCTTTCCTGTCTATAATCCAAGCGCGTGGCCCCTCACCCCTTGCCCCCTAGAAACGACCGGTGTCTAGTCCTCGGTCAAGACCCTGGAGAGCCGGCCACCGACCGCTCGCAGACCTCCCGGGAGCGCTTTGGCGTCAGCCCGGCCCCTGCCAGTTTCCAGACCCGGCTCTCTCCCGCGCCAGGTCCCGCCTCCCTAGATTCGGGTTCCTCGATGCTCTCACCTCGGTGGTTAGTTTTGGGGTAACCAGCCAACGTTGCGCTGCCTGCCTGCTCGCTGGTTTCTGAGGGGGTGGTGAGACCTGAACTCTGATGCTCCTGCCAGGTGGTGGTGGAATCCGCGTGCAGCCCCGACTCCCAGAGGGAGGCATAGTCCGAGCCCACAGGCTCACCCCACGAAAGCCGGTAGTCCCCGCGCGGCTCTCCCCCGTGGCCCTTGCCCCAGCAAGTGGCGCTGTCGGGGCCAAGGCAACAGTCCCAGCCGGGGGAGCTGGCCGCAGCCTGGACGCGCGAGCACGGGTGGGCCCCTCCCGCCGAGGCGGCACCCAGCGGGCCCGCGGGCCCTTCGGAGTCAGCGCACGGGGTGGGGCCCAGGGCCTGCGAGACGTGGCTCCCCGTAGCAGAACCGGTGCACGCCTGGTCTGTCCAGTCTCCTGACCACGGAAGAGCCTGAGGGGCGTACTCTGTAAGGAGGAACGGACACCGGACAGCGAGTGAGGGGAGCCCCAGGTGGCCCGGGCCTCTGGGGGTTCTGGGAGTCATCGCTCTCAGTGCTGGCGCCTGGGGACCTGGGCTCCCGGGTCTAGGTGATGTCACTTTGAGGACACAGGCACCTCTGTCCAGCCCCATTCCTGCTCAGAGATCGGGGAGTCAACTTCTACGCTACACGTGGAGGACCCTCTTCCCGCCAGCTCTTCCCTCCGGCTCTTCCCTCCCCTTCTCTGTAGACACACTCACCTGCCTCCCATGGAATTCCTGGGTGTGGTAATGTGGAGCCCCAGTCCAGCTGTGGGGACCCTGTGGGGACAAGAACGAAGCTGAGCTTAGGGAAGGATGCAAGCGATGACCACTTGTCTTTATTTGTCAGGGCCTGAGTTATTGCCCCTAACCCCCACAGGACCCCGTCTCTTTCAGCCCCAGAAGAATAGGCATCCCCCAACCCCCCTTAGACAGAGGTAGTCCACCCCTTTTTCACAACACCCAGGGGTCCCAGCCCACAGCCACCTTTCCAGTGTGTCTCCGCTGTCAGCGTGTCGCCTTGGAGCGCCAGTTCAGGGAAATAGAAGCCGAGGTCAGTTCCTTCTGCCGGCAACAAGGAAGTTAGGGCCAGCTGGAGTCAGCAGGGGACCCCGCCTGGGCACTCCCCCCCCCTCACATGCTCAGCTCTGGCAGCCTACCCAGCCCTGACAGCCTGTTCCCTGGGGGTACTTCTTGTGATGATGCTTCATCCCACCTCCACAAGTCCATGGGTGCTCGATGGGAATGTTCTAGTTAGACAGGAGGGAAGGGAATGAACTGGTGTCACTTAAGGACCCTCGAGCCTCAGCCCCAGCCCTTTTGTCCCTCAGATCAGGCAGTCCAGGTTCCCAGACGCCCGAGATCCATTCCCCATCCTGGCTCACCTCTGGCTGGTCTCTCTGTCCCTGGCTGGGGGTCTCAGCCCCATTTCATATCATGCAGCCCCCTCCCCTGGGGGCCTGGATGGGGGGGGAATTTTCCAAGACGTCAGAGCCGGGGTCACAACCTGGGTCGAGTTGCAGGGGACAGGGCGGGGCGAGCCCCCCTCCCTTCAGAGATTCCCACCCGCTTCCGGGTAATGGGGATTGTCCTAACACAGGGAGGATTTGGACCTGGACAGGAGCTTGGGGAACAGCAGCCTGCACGAAACCCGAAATCGAAACCCGAAATCGGGGTGCAGAGGGGTCCTTACTACAGGGTGATGGGAAGGGCTGAGTACTTGATGGGCAGGTTCTGTCTTGGGGATTTGATCCTGCGACATGGGGGGTAGTGGGGGAGGCAGGCTGGGGTCAGCTGGGCGGCACCAGGCTTATCTGCAACAGGAAGGGGGATTTCCGGCCAGACCCCAGGTCCTCCACGTCACAATCTACAGGGTGGCTGGAGCAGGGGGGGTGAGGCCAATGAGGGGGGATCCCAGACCAAGAAGAGTTTTGTCTTCTGAGGGGCATTCTGGGGCTGCTCCCCAGGGGTGTCAATCATGATAAAAATAACCTCAACAACATAAACAGTAACAGAAGCAACACTAGCTGTTCTTTATTGAGGATTCAGCTCATGCTGTGCCTTGGATTTTTCTTTAATCCTCTTAGGAGATAGGTATTAGTCTTATCCCATTGCATCAAAGGGGAAACTGAGGCAGGGTCCTAGCATTCCTCCCATTTCATCTGCAGAGCCCACGCCCTTCTGTTCTATAATAGTTTGGGACAAATTGAGAAATTTGAGTATAAACAACACGAGAGATCCAAATTCTTTTCTCATATGTGATCATGGTCTTATGAGATGAAAGATACATACCTCTATAAGGAAGTGAATATTGAGTTGCTTGAGGGTGAAGTGTTTATGTCTGTAACTCGCTTCCAGTGATTCAGCTAACGGAAAAATCCAACCGCGACTATATGTAACACATAACTACATGCACTATTTGGGACATAGACAAAAATATTTTTTTTCTGAAATTCCAGGTGTCCTGTGATATGTATTTCCTAAGTCAAGCCTCTGAAACCAGGTAGCTTGGCCTCACAGCTGGTGTTGTGCCCATCCCGCTAAATTCTACTAAGTAAATTTTTATTTAGTATACATCCAATTTCTGTGACATGACCACTTTCCAGTATTGACCCCGTTTGATCCTTAACCACTTGCCTTTCTGGGTGTGAGGGGGTGAGCTCTGCTCTCTTCTGTTACACAAGGAAACTGGACTTCAAGTATCACCCCTCACAGAGGGTGTGTGTGTGTGGGGGGGGGTGTCCTGGGATTTAGCCCAACACAGGAGGGAGCCTGCTGTACCCCCCACACCCCCTCTCCTGTGTCTGCCCTGGGTGGTGTCCCCACCTCTGAGTCTTGCACCTCGACTCTTGCTAAATCTCAGCGCTGCACAACTGTCTCTCTCCTGCCCATTTCCTTGGCTGGGTTTTCTCCACACCTCCCTTCCCACCGGTCTGCCTCAGACCCTTTCTTCTCACCTCTTTTCATCTTTCTGCGCCCCCTCCCCACCTCTCTGCCCCGTGGTAGACCCTTGCCCCTCCCCCCCCAAGTCTTAAAAGCACACATTAAAAAACTTCTCTTTTCGGGGTCATCCTCCTTTCTGTCTCCCTCCTGGTCCCCAGGCCTCTTTGGTTGCAGCGAGCAGAAAGGGGTCAGGAGTGGGGGGGCCACGTAGTGATGGGTTTTGGGGCTGGGTGGTCCAGCCCAGATGGTAGGGGGCCCAAAGGGCACTTCCTGCTGGAGCGGGGGTTGTTGGTGGTGGTGGTCCTCTGACCAGACTGGAAAATGTGACGTCAGAGGGAGGAAGCTGGAGAGGGGGAAATCTGACACCTCTCCTGGGCAAATTCCAGAGGGGCCTGGCATTGTCTCCCCACCCCCATGCCCCAGAGTCTGGCCTGACTTGCCCCTTCCCCAGCAGGCTTCTGTAACCCATCTGGAACCCCAGGCCAGAATTCTGCAGCTTCCCTCCTCTGCCCCCCCACAGCAGGGGGTCTGGGCACTCTCTGAAGTGCAGCTCTCCATGCCAGTCCCCTCCCGAATGCTGGCTCAGCTTCCGGACTCCTCCAGGGTGAAGTCTAAGCTCTCAGTCTGGCAGTCTGGCCATCGAGGCCCCACAGGGACTTCAGACAGGCAGACAAGCATGGCACTGGGACGAGAGGGGGTCGGGAGGGACCCAGAGGTGCAGAGAATACTCAGAGGTACACACTCTTAGAAACAGAGGGGCACCCTCAGAGAAACACACCCAGGGAAACACTCAGACCCACAGTCACAGGAACAAGAGAAGTCAGCTGGGTTTTGCAGCAAGAGTCCCAGAGATGCTGGGAGAGCTGCAGGCTTCAAGAGGCAGGAAGAGAACCAGTTCCTGCAGGAAGCCCTCGGGACTGAAGGTCAGAACCCGCTCCAGACCGAACCCACTCCAGACCGCTCGCTCTGGGCTGTCACTGCAGGAACCTGTCTCCTGCCCCTGCACCGCAGGCTCGACTAGGGTGCCCAGGGCTGCTTGAGGCAGCACTGTCTAAGCTCCCGGTAGGTTTTCTGAACAGACAGAAGCCCGGAAGGCTGTGAGCTCCAGAAGGAAGGCCCCAGATGATCCCCACCCTGTGCTGAGGACACACGCTGCGTGGCACGGCTGCACTCGCCTGCACCCGGGTTTCCAGATGCAGGCTCGCAGCCGGGCCTGAAAATGCCCACCGTGCTGCGCAGATGAACTTTCCAGACTCCCTGGTGCTCCCGGCCGAGGATGAAGCCCTGCGCCCGCCCTGAGTGCTTCCAGGCCCAGGCAGGGATGGAAACGAATGTAAATTTATTGAAACCGGCTTGGGGAGGAAAGGTAAAGTGGCCAGCGGGAGGTTTTCCAAAGAGAACCGAGGGCAGGAGCCAGCGCCCGGCAGGTAGGAGCGGGTGCCCGGCCACAGGCCCTATCTCAGGCCCAGCTTCTTCTTTTCCTTCTGCTTCTTGCGCACCACGTCCAGGTTCCGGTCCTTCCACATACTCTTGCGCAGCTTGATGGGCCGCGAGCCCACGTACTTCCCTGTGGAGTAAAGGGTGGGGGTCAGGCGGGGCGCGCCGGAGGCGGCCACACCGCCCGCCCGCGGGCCAGGCCGCACCGTTCATCTCCCGCATGGCGCGCACGTAGTCGCTGGGGTCCTTGAAGCTGACAAAGCCGTAGCCCTTGGTCTTGCCGGTGCGCTTGTCCCGGATCACCTTGGCCTTGAGGAAGGACGGGAAGCGACTGAAAGCTCGCGCCAAGATGTCGTCGTTCACCTCGTTGCCCAGATCCCCGCAGAAGATCCGGAAGTCATCTAGGGGTGGGAGACAGGCGGCAAGGAGCTGTGGAGGCCGGCCCGGGGTCTGCCTGCTGAGTGACCCTGCTCTGCAAGCAGCCCCCAGCCGGCCGCGCAGCATCTCCCCTGTGCCTGGCTCTCTGCTCCCACGCACGAGGCCTCGCCCACCTGGCACAGTGCCAAGGCACCCACAGCACCTCCACCAGGCAGCGGCAGAACTTGGGCATCTGGCTCCAGGGTCCTCACTTTTTTTTTTTAAGATTCATTTATTTATTTTTAAAGATTTACTTATTTATGCACACAGAACTGGGGTACAGGCCAGAAGTGCAGGGGTGGTGACAGGATTCACCAGAACAGGCAGATAGATAAAGTCCACTGCTGAGGGGAGCAGCGGGCGGATCAGGAGAGGTCTGCCGCCCTGTGGGTCACCTGAGGGGTCGGGGGAGAAACTCAGGCTGCAGTGGCTGTGGACAGCTTGATAGCGCTGATGCTTTCACCCCACCTCACCAGGGAGGCCCCCAAAGTCTCACTCTTACTGGTGCCACCCTTCCCCACCCTGGAGCCACCTCACTTATTCCCTCAACAAAGCCCCTAGCTTGGTTCTAGCCCTGGCACCCCTCAGGCCCCTGGACATTCCTCCCTCTGGCCCTCCCCATGGCCCGACAGCCACCAACTCCCAGTGGCAGCCTGTCTTTCCTCGCTCTGCTGCTCACGGCGAGGCCTAACCCCCTGGAGTCTCTGACAAGGGAACACACTGCTCAGTGCTACCTTCCTTTAAATGAAGTTTTACTTTCTTAGCGTTTGCTTCTCTCTGCTTACTTATCTAAAATGTCTACAAATCCTTTTTACATTTCCATGGGACAAGAACCAGAGGTGGCTCACGGACTAAATAAACAGCGCACACTGGTGTCCTGGTGGCTGACCCCAGGCATACGCCTCGGGCCCCTTCCCGGGGAGGCGCCTGCTACTCCGCGCCCTTGCTGGGGATGGAGACACTGGCGGGGGCTTGAGAGGCTTGGCAGGGTCCTAGGACTAGGGTCAGGGTGCCAGGCCAGACAGGTGGTCCTAGGGAAGAGGCAGAAGCCACAGGCCACAGGCGCAGGGCCGCCTCCCTGGGCACTCTATGCGGCGTCTGTGGGATGAACAGTCTCTGAGACCCGTGAGATGCCAGCCCAGGAGGAGATTATCTAGTAGAACCAGAGGGTGGGGCCTTGTTCAAGACAACTGGACACTCAAACTGTTATACACAGAAAAAAGCACAGCGAGAAGCCCTCCCTGGCGGTGCAATGGATCAAAGTGCAGCACCATGAAGCTGGCTGCGGCCACCTCAGCTCAAGTTTGATCCCCGGCCAGGGAGCTGACCCACATGGCGCAGCAGACCTCTGCTGACCTGCCTGCTGCTCCCCTCAGCAGTGTACCTCATCAGTCTGCCTGCTCTGCTCCCCACTCTGTCTCTGGTGAAGCCTCTCACTGCCCATGCACCTCTGGCCTGTACCCCACTTCTGTGTGCATAAATAAATACATCTTAAAAAAAAAAAGCAGAGGGAGGAAAACAATTTTCACAGCAAGATAATCTAAAGCCATGAGACCACACAGACCTGAATTCTGGGAAAAAGCCAGCTGTATGCTTTGAGGGACAAGTGGGGAAACCTGGACAGAAACAGATTACAAGATACCAAAGAGGTACTGTTTATTTTTTGGGGTGTGTTCATGGTATTTTGGTTGAAAGACCCTATTACTTTGCTTAGGAGGTGAATATAGAGGTATTTACGAGTGAAAGGGTGACTTTAATCTGCATCAGGTGATGAAGGAAAAGCTGAGAAAATACATACACATAAAGGGAGAAAGCGACTATAGCAGAGTGTTTACTGAGGTGTGACTGAGATAAGGCGCTGGTGTTTGTGATACCCCAAGTTGGCCGCCCTGGTAAGTCTAGTTACTACGCAGCACCACACAGTTACCCCTTTTTTGTCTTGTGTAGAAAAGCAAAGAGAAATGTTCATAGTTGAACCTAAGTGATATGTAAAAGGTGACAGACTATCTATAGGAAGGTAATGGCTCTTACTGTGGCTGTCAATGCTTAAAGTTTTCCGTTAAGTTGGGAGAAAAAAGGCTGCAGCCAGAGCGGCGCTGTGCGGCCCTTCCCGTCTCTGCCACAAGGAGGCGCCCCTGCCCGCCCCGGCCGCAGGGCCCAGCCCGCAGGCCGCTCACTCACCTGCATCCCACTCCAGGAGGCTGGGGTCCTCCCAGCTGCTCCCCGCTGCCGTGCGAATGCAGCGTTTGGACTTCTCTGGCTTTCCTTTCTTCTTGTCGTCACCTAGAGGCTCTGGGACCTGCACAGGAAGGGGAGAGGTGCAGAAGGCTTGGTGTCGCGTCTTCTGAGGCCCCTGCCTTTGCCCCCGGTGCCCGCTGTACAGGCAAGACCGCACGCACGTCCGGCGGGTGTGTGTGCTCACCGCCCTCTCCCCGAAGTCTTTCGGCCCCTGGGGTTCCCTCCGCCCACTCTCTGCACTGGGCCTACTGCAGGCTTCTGTGTGGATGCCCACGGGCGGGCGCCTGCCCCTCTCTCCAGCCTTTCTGCCCCCCCCCAACAGTGATGCTAAGCCCCTGCTTACCTCAAGGGCCATGAGGCCAGGGGGGGGCTCAGGGCGGGGAGGCCTGGGCCTGGGACGCAGGGACAGGAGCTCAGGAATGCGCAGCGGGGGCAGCAGGCCTCTCACCACTTCCAGGGGCAGGGGCAGGGGCTCGGGCTCGGGCAGCGGCATGGCCAGGGCCAGGGGCAGGCTGGGCCCGATGACTGCAGGGCCGGCCGCGGCGCCCCCGGCCCCCACGGCCACAGCCGCACTAGCCTCCTCCAGGCCGGCAGCCGCCACCACTGCCTCCTCCTTCTCCTTCAGGCCCAACCCCAGGCCTAGACCCAGCTCTCGCGGCGTTGCCGGCTCCTCCTGAGGGTGGGGAAAGGACCCGCGGGGGTGAGGTCACTGACTCAGGCTAACCCCCACTCCCACCCCGCACAACAAGCAAGGGACCAGAAGCAGACAAGGGACCCCGAGAGGGAAAAGGAGTCTCCGGCTAGAGACAGGCCTAGGACAGAGAGACAGCAGACGTGGGACAACCACAGGAAAGACGAGGCCACCTGGAGAAACACCCACAGCGTGTGTTTCCGCCTGTGCCTTCCTCGCGAAGAACGAGACCAGAAAGATCTGGCCACAGAAACAAACGGGAAGCTGGGTAAAGCCAGCAGGGAGACGGCCGGGAGGACAAGCCAGGGGATGGCAGACTTGGCCACAGCCCATCGGGCCAGGACAGGGTCTCCCACCGATGCACCGAGCCTCGGTGTCCTGTTCGTACTCACCAGCGGGGGCCTCAAAGCAGCCATGGAGCCCAGGGGGGGCCCTGGGGCCCGAGCCATTGGCGGCAGCATCATGGGTGGTCCAGGGGGCCCAGACAGAGGGGGGCCCACAAGAGCCTGGTGCGGAGGCCGCAGGGCTATCGGTCGGGGAGCGCCTGCTGCGGAACAAAGAGCAGAATCTGTCAGGGTGTTAGCAGGGGAGTGGGAAGGCCGGGGGAGTTATGTGCAGCACTGATGACCTTGGCCCCTCACCTGCTCTCTGCAGCACGTGGGGGATGAAGTCTGGACGCAGGATGGGGGCCACAGCTGTGGGAGAGATGGGGGTGTGTGTCATGGGGGACTGGGGCTCTTGTGGCAAGGTATGTGTGTGTGTGCCCAGATATCCTGGAGAAGAGTCAGGGACCATCTGACATGTGCAGATGTTTTCATTTGCTGCTTTGGGTAAAAAATCAGACCTGCGGCGGTCCTCTGGGCCTGGCCCTTCCCAGGCAATGCTGGAACACACCAGAAGGCCACGGGCTCTCAGGGAGCTGTCAGGCCGGAGTAGGAGGAAGCAGATCCATCAGAGTGATGGCCCGGATGACCAGTGCCCGCGTGTGGGAGAGCCTGGGCAGTGATGGCGGCGGCAGGGGGAAGGCCGGGAAGGATGGGGGCCCAGAGACCTGACCTAGACCGGGGATTCCCGGAGATAGGGGCTTATGAACCGAGACCCAAAGGAGAACGAAGAGGTGGTCAGGCAGAGAGTGGAAGTGGTCTGGTAAGTGAAAGTGCTCCCGGGCAGGAGGGTATTTACTTTCCCGAGTCCTTTCCCGACTCGGTTTAGCCTCACTGTAACAGGCAGCCGGGGCGGGGAGAGCATCATCAGAGGTGCTGGGAGAGCAGCAGGCCCCTTGGTATACGAAGCCTCATGGCTGCCAGCGGGCGTCTTCCTGGGGCACTGGGAGCCGCGGCTGCCTCGGAAGCCGGGCAGAGGGACTAGGTCAGATTTCTATTTTGATCAAACCCACACTAAGAGATATTAAAAGTTCTCAGCTAGCAGAAAAAATGGCATCAACAAGGCTTGTCTAGTAGAGAGTATCCCTGAACTTTGGAGAAGACACATCGTTTTCACACTCACAAGGGAGGTCAGAAAAGCTGACTGTGGAGAAGGTCACCCCACAACAGGAAGAATGGCCTGTGAAAATGAGGAATTTGAATGACTGGGGTCAATGCACTTCTGGTTTAGCTGATAAGAGATCCCCAAGATTATACAGTCGGACGATAGTGAAAGAGGGAGAGGGGAACTCAACAGAAGCAGTACTGGCACACTCCAGCAACATCTAGTTTCGGGATGAGGGGGCAGCTCTCTGCGCCTGGTAAGTGAAAGTGCTCCCGGGCAGGCGCCACAGGAGCTTGACGTCAGGGAAGGGCTTAATGGTTGTTGGTGGCTTGTCACCGCGTCAGCCTGTGGCAGGGGACGCCTGCTACTGAGCGGGCGCCAGGGTCCCACCCCTCAGGGAGCTTGGATTTTATTTAATTTTTTTTTAGATTTCTTTATGCAACTGGGGTACAGGCCAGAGGTGCAGAGGGTTAAGAGGATTCACCAGAGACAGAGTGGGGAGCAGAACAGGTGGATTGATTGAAACACACTGCTGAGGGGAGCAGCGGGTGAGACAGGAGAGGTCTGCTGCACCCTGTGGGTCAGTTCCCTGGCCGGGGGTCGAAATCGAACTCGTGCTGCAGTGGCTGGAGATAGCTTGATTACACTGAGACTGAACCCCTGCAATACCAGGAAGGGCCCAAGCTTGGGTTTTAGAGGAAGCAAAAGATAACAATTGGAGTGTTTGTTAAAAGATGTTACACGCTATAGAGAAACAGGGCAAAAGGCAGGGATTTCAAAGGACACCTCAGGGGTGATCTGCAATGATCAAGTCAAGTCTCGCTAAGGCCGAATTGGGGAAGAGCACAACCAGGACAGAAGGTGATGTAGTGGTGGGGATGAAATGAAGAGAGTGAATGAGCACAGTGCTCCTGGCAAGAGTTTGAAGTAACTGAAACAAGCCTGGTTAATGTGGGGTTCCCTGGTCCCTACCTGCTCGCCGCAGGAACATGGCTTCTCGAGCCTCTGGACTGTCCAGGTGACCCCGATCACCAGGGCCAAAGCCAACTGTTGGTAGAAGAGAAAAGGGGATGGTGAGAGGAGAGTCTTGGGGGCCCTTTCACCACTCTGCTGGGCCCCGAGCTCCCTTACCCACCACTTCTTACTTACCTGGACCCACAAAAGGAGGGCCCACCATGGAGGGAACCACTGTGGCTGCAGCAGCCGCCCGTGCTTCCAGAGTCTGCTGGACCTGTTGAGGAGAAGGTTGGGTGGGCAGTCTGCGTTGAGTGTTCCCACTCCGCGAGGCTGGCACATGGCTTTGTTCTTTGCACTCTGTAGGGGGCTGGCTATCCACCTTTAGGACTCAGGTCCCGCCTCAGTGTAAAAAACAAGATCCTTATGATCAGCCACAAGGGCCAATCAGATATGATCTCTTATCACCAATTTGTCTTCATCTTCAACTGTCACCCTTGTTCACTCTGGTCACACCATTCCCCTGGCTATTCCTTGAACACACCAGGCATGCCCCCGCCTCACGGCCCTTGCTGGCAGTACTCCCTGCTGGAGAAGCTCTTCTCTTACAAGCTGTATGGCTTCTTCTATCACATCCTCTAGAAATGTCACCTTCTCAGAAGGCCTTTCTTGACCTTACTGATAAGCCTCTGCCCATCTTACTGCGGCACATATATATTTATGCCCTAAAATAGATGCTCCCAAAGGTCAGAAATGTTGTTTGCCTTGTCATTAATGTATCTTCAGTCTGGCATATAATGAAGTTGTCATGCTAACTAATCAACAAGCCAACTAGTGAATAGTTATCTGTATCCAGACACTGTGCCCGAACTGTGCCCTCCGACTTACATGCCTTTGCCTAGTCGTACCTGCTGGTATGTGTTGGTCGCGATAATTGGGCGGATCACAGGAGCTGGGACCTGCATCGCTTCCACCGTGGGGACTGTGGGCACCGCAGTTGGGATTCCGGTTACTGGAGCCCCCAGAACTTCCTGCTCAAACCTGAAGGGGACAAGACAGGCATGACAGCACAGGGTCTTGCACTAATACCAGAACATCAATACCAGACAGCGCCTCCACCCCGACAACCTCCCCTCATAACTTCCGCCCCCCCATCCCGAAGTTTCCCCATCACAGAGCCATAGGACGGGCGCATCGCGGTCCGGAGGCCCCAGAACTCGATGGCTCTGGCTCCCGGACGGCTTTTATCCCGCCCCGTAGCGGGCCTTACAGGGCCATCTCCGCTTCCATCTCCTTCAAGCGTTCCTCGCCGCTCTTGCCCGGGATACCGGCGCCAGGACCCGGGACAACAGGTCCTCCCGCACCCGGGAGTCCCGCCGGCCCCGCCCCGGCCATCGCTGCTGCCGTCGCAGTCGCCGCTACCACTGCCAAAGCTCAGTCTCTCCCGCCGGTCCCACTGTCTACCCTCTGGCTCCGTCGGGGTGGGCGCCCGCGAGTGACGTAAGCAACGCGCCGGGCGCCGTGCATGACATCATACGCCAACGGGGCGCACTTGGAGGAACGGCCAATGAGAACCTGACCACACCCGGAAGGCCCGGCCAAGAGGAACCAAACCCAATCCGAATGGCGGAGAGGCGGCCCGACGGGAGAGCCGAGGCCTGCGGGAGTCACCGCGCAGAGGCGGCCACGCCTTCGCGGAGGAGCGGGGGCTAATGAGGGCGCCGTCCAGCCGCCAGGCCCCGTCCCTAAGGCGGACCCCGGACCTTTGAGGTCGCAGGGAAGTTCGGAGGCCCCGCCCGTGCCGCCGTCCCGGAAGCTCTTAAACACACGGAACTGCGCACGGACTCCAGGTCGGGGCGATGTTGGAGACCCCCCCGCAGCGCGGGCGCCTACTCGCGGGCAGACACAGAGGATTTAGGGCAGTGACCGCTAGAAGGGCCAGGGACATGGCATGGGGACTCTTGGGCCGGGCTTCCTGGAAGAGGTGACAGCTCAGGTCTTTCTGGATGAAAAGCGAGATGTTTTGGATCGGAAGGAATTGTCCGTGCAGAAGTTGAGAGGGTAGTTACCTGCGTCAGCGCTGAAGTTCACGGCTGTAGGTTTGGTCACTGTCCTTGTGATATATCAAACACCTTATTTTTGTCGCCCTCAAAATCTTTTATTAGAAACATTTTCCAAAAATACACAATAGAGTAACGAATCTCCATTTTCTCAACAGTTACTCGAAACTTACCTATTTATCTTATTAAAAAATTTCTTTCCTGGAATTAGCCGTCAACCATAAATGCTCTCTGATACCTAACAGATAAGAACTATTTAAAAGGGGGGGAAAAAAAAACCCAACATACCAGCTTATACCTAACAAAACGGATTTCTTAGTATTTGACACCCAGACTATGTTCAATTTTTGCTGTCTCAAATTTGTTTATACAGTAGTACTGTAAAGTAAGAATCTAAGATGCACATAATGTATTTGGTTAGTCGGGTTTTTTCCCCTTGGAAACTTAATTTTATTGCTTTATTGAAGTCCCAGTCTGAATCTGCACAAATGAATAGTTAAAATATTGTTAGTTAATCGCTAGAGAAATGTCTTTCTGACCCCACATTTTTACTGACTAGTGTCCTTCCCTTAGTGTTTATTCTTACAGAACTGGGATGCTGGCCAGAGGCACAAGGGCCGTGAGAGGATTCACCAGAGACAGAGTGGGGAGCAGAACAGGCAGATTGGCAAAGTACACTGCTGAGGGGAGCAGCAGGTGGGCGAGGAGAGGTCTGCCGTGCCATGTGGGTCAGCTCCCTGGCTGGGAATTGAACTCATGCTGAAGTGGCTTTAGCTACTTAATGCAGTGCTTCAACCCGCTGCGCCACCAGGGAGGGCTCTCATTTGGGTTTTTTTTTTAAGTAGATGGGGGTTATGGGGCTTTTGGTGCATGTATAAATATCAATATAAACTTAGATTTTCAAACACATTTGATATACTAAATTCCTGCTCAAAATGTACCGTCTTTAGCCAGTGGGAGCTCTTTCAGACTGATTCCTGAGCCTGTTGCCATGAAAAAGTTTTTACCAGTATTTCCCCGATAGGATCTGGATTTTGAATCATATTTAGGAAATGTGTTTTGTTTACAGAGAATTTCACCTTGGCACTCACACAGTCTGAGGTCAATGAGACATAAAGCGCAGAGTTGATTAGAAGATGTGCTAGAGAGAAAAGTGAAGCAGGGGTGAGGGGTGGGAACTGAGGAAGGGCACGAGGAGGGAAACCAGAAGTGGCGTAGGGGAGAGTGGACGTGCAGCTGGGAGGCAGATGGGTTTGGGGAAATTGGGAGAGCGAGGGTGTTCCCGGCCAGGAGAGGAAGGAGGTGGATGACAGGTTCACGATCACAAAATTGTCCAGTCGCCCGAATTTGTAAACTGACTGCAATCTGTAAAACCTACTGAAAGGAGCAGCGGCGGACTATAGGTAAGCACAAAGAGGGGGGCAGAAGAGCCCAGGTACTTAAGAGTGGCCAGCAAAGGAGTCTTTATTGGGGCGCTCCCGGGCAAGGTTCGCCCACCCCCATGGGGTAGAAGTCTGGCAGAATCTGAGGCGTTTTAAGGGCTTTCTGGGATTCCGTCAGGTATGTGGGAGACGGGCTGGGTGCAGCTGGCGGAAGGTGGGAGGAAGCGGTTGTTTTCGGGTACGGAAGATAAAGGCAAGGACAAGTTTTTCAAGGCCCCTTCCCCGCCGCCCTGTTGCCAGGAACCCATGTGTCTCTTGGGTGACCTTTCCCCTACCACCCACCTGTATTTCTTCTGGAACCAGAAGTTGAGTGTATTTGGGAGAAAAACCAGTAAGAGCAGTAGTAGGGGACAGGGAAAACAAGAGCAAGCGGACAACCAGCCACTTCTGAGAGGATACAGCACCCTGCTGCCAGAGCCCTGCCAAGGACAGCCCTGCCGGAGGGGAGAGGGCGGCGGGCCCACGGCGCTGAGAGAACCGGACACAACTAACTTATCACCCAACATCCTGGACCCTCAAGTTATACTGTGTAGTAGGTGGGTCAGGTTTTACCTTGACAAACTGAAGAATAATTCTAGCAGTGAAATGAACAGACCAGAGTACAGCAGCCCAAGTTCTGACACATGGACGCACCTTGGCGCTCACGCCGCTCCCATGTGTTCTCTGCCCGCACCTGGCAGGTTCCCGTCTCCTTGTCGATCGCTGCCTCCCCCTCCTCCCTCGGAGGCAATCGCTACTCTGAGAATTTTAATAAAAACTATTGGAATATACGAAACGCTGGATCCGCTGGGATGATTTCCAAATGGTTCAAAGATTTAAATGTGAAAAAAGAACAAGTAAAAAACTGGAAGATAACCTCATCTCTTGAAAATCTGCCACCCCGACTGCCTCCCTGGGCCTCATGCTGGCACCCGTGACCCGGGGCCTTGGACCTTGCCAGGATGGCCTCCCACGTGGCCTCCAGACTCTGCTTTGCTGGGTCTTCTATTTGGAGTCTTTAAAACCAAACCTCCTGCGGCTGCCTTATTTTTCTTCACAGCAGTGATCTCCCGACACAAGACTGTGTTTTGCTTGCTCGTCAGTGGGCCACTTTCCTGCCTAGGATGGTACCTCCTGGAAGAGGAGGTTCAGGGTCCCGTGTCCAGCGCACATGCTCTATTACACCTGGCCATGGTGAAGGTGGTGAAGGGAGTTTCAGGAAGTTGTGTGTGGGGCGTGCACAGTATCTCATGGCCTTGGCTTTGGTGGGATGAAAAGACAGCAAGGCAGTAGAAGGTCCAGTCTGAGATGAGTGGACAACGGCTGGCAGAGCCCTGTGATGCTCTCGCGAAGGCAGAGGCGGGAGGCGCTGGGGTGAAGAGATGGCGGCTTCCAACTCCGCCGCGGCCCTCTTCATCTGCCCTGCTGCTGCAGGGCGCCTTGGGCCTGGCCCCAGCGCAGCTGCCACTGGGACAGGGACAGGCCCTGGCAGAGCTCCCCGGAGAGGGCGACTTGGCCTGGCTGCTCCCACCTGGGGAAGGCCGGTGTCACAGGGAGCCGGGATCTCCAGGCCTCCCTGGACTCCCCAAATGCCACGATCCGCTTGTCGTAGTACCCCCCACCCGGATCCCGAGCCCCTCCAGTCCCACAGCCACCTCCCCGCCCCCGCCCCCCTGAAAGGTCTCCTCACCAGTCCCCGACGGCCGCCTGCAGTCGGGGGACTCGTTCCAGCGCTTGCTTCAGCAGGTTCTCCAGGCGCTGCAGCGCCTTCCCCAGAGTCTCTTTCTGCTCCTGTTCGTGGGACGCCCAGCTCTGCAGCAGCTCTGCGGTCAGAAACCCGGCCGGAGCCTGAGGCCTCTGGCTTCCCGGTGCCTGAGGCCAATGGCTCACCGAGTCTCTAGTCAGCCCCCAGCGTCTCTCCCAAGCCTCTCCTCTCCCGGGGCTGCCTCTCGGGAAGCCCTCACGCCATGGCCTGACCTGGATGCTTCTCTCCCTCATAGGGTATCAAGCTCCATGGCCTGCCTCTCACCTTCCTGTCCACTTGCGTGACCTCGCTCAGCTTCTCTGCTAGGCTCCAGGCCTCAAGCCCCACTGACCCACCCCCACAGGGCGGCGAGTGCAGTCTTTCTAATGCCCAGACCTGATCCTTCCCCTCTTCTGCTTGACACATTCCAGGGCTCCCAGCTGCCCGAGACAGCATCCAGTCCTTTGGCCTAGCAGTGAAAGGTTTCCACTGGGTGGCCTCCGCTCACCACTCCGCTGCGAAACCTCACCGACCCCTCCAGGGTGCGTGAGAGACGAGTCTGTCCTGCTGGACATCCTCCCAGCATCCTCGCTGCCCAGCCCAGTGCTCCCCAGGGACAGTGACAGGGCCTAGTCATTCTCTCTGAACCCGAACAGGTCCAGGTCAGAGCAACTGCAGACCCGCGGTGGCCAGACCCGCTGGCCCGACTCCCGATCTGGTCCATCCTTGCTTCACGACCTTGGGCATGACAGCTGCCAAGGGTGGACCTGCAGCTGGACCTGCAGTCGGGCAGATGACCTGAGCCACAAGCTAGTGGGACGGGGGGCGTGTGAGGGACTCTGGAGGTGGGACCCACAGGGCTTGCTGACAGCTAAAGCAGGTTAGGCAGCTGGGAGGAACGAAGGCTGGAGTCTGGGCTTCTGGCGTAACCCTGGCTGACAGGGGTGGAGTCATTTTCGGAGGGGAGGAAGCCAGGAGCAGGGCTGCTGCCTCTCAGAGCAGAGGGAACCAAGATGCCCACGAGGAGGCTGATGTGCCGGGCCCTGGCCTGTTCCTGCTGCTCCCACAGCGTGCCCCCTGCCACGGGGAGGCAGACCCAGAGCTGAAAGCGGTCTCTTCGTGTCTCCCTCGGGGCACCCGATTCTTTCTCGTCAGTTCACCCCTGGCATCTATTTCTCCTTGATTCGTTGCTCTCTGCTCCTACCAGCTGGGACCCCTCACCCTGCTCGTCACTGAGCCAGCACCTGGCAGGGACCCAGGCGGTGCCCACTGAGTGATGCCAGCATGAGGGACTTTTCTGAGCTTTCGTCCTTCCTCTGCAAGCGGGGGTCTCAGTAATCCCTTCCCTCTTGGTGAGGACAGGAGGAGACCGCGAGCAGGCAAAATGATCGCCATCGCGCTAGACAAAGCGCAGCTGCAGCGTGCTAAGAACCATTCAATGCTGTGTTTGGGTCACCCGCGTCTTCCCAGCGACTCTAAGTCGCTATGGCTGCGGTTACTCCACCGAGGAGACTGAGGCACAGAGAGCTCACACAGCAGGCAAGAGGTGAGCCTGAGAATGGGCTCCGAGCAGTGCAACGCCACTGCCTGTGACGCACGGGGACACCAGAGCACGGTCTCGGCGGACACTCGGCAAGTGCAGGCGTCAACAGCCGAGCGGCCAGGGCACAGCCCCACGTCAGATCGCCCAGATTCCAAATCTCGCTGTGCCATCTTGGCAGCTCAGTCCCCTCCAGCCTGGCTGTCCAGTCCCTCGCACAGCACGGCCCTCACGGGGTGACGGCGCAGGCTGAGCTGGCGAACACACTGAAAGCGCCGGGCGCGCAGGAGAAGCCCCGAGGCTGGGGGGCCGGGGATGGGCAGGGCAGCTGGGCGGGGAGCAGGGGAGGCCTACCCTGGGCTGATGGCCCTGGCGGGAGGCTGGTCTTCATGTGGAGCAGATTCCGGCACCGGAGACTCTGCTGGTCCTGGAGGAACAGAAGGTCCTGGCGAAGCGAGGCCACCAACGGGAGCAGCAGCTCTGGGGCCTGGGGGGAGGGAGAGGGACAGTCACCGCCGGGGGGCAGGCGGAGGCCAGGACCCCCGAGACGGGCACTCACCTTCCCGGAGGGCAGCCCCAGCGTGTGGCTCAGCTCCAAGAGGCTGGAGGCCTTGGGGGAGGCCGGATGCAGCTGGTAGATGGATGGCAGGACTGTGGGCAGGGCCTGTGACCTATGGGGAAGGAAAAGATGGGGTAGCAAGGGGGAGACTTGGGTTTCAGGGCCTCTGGGGGCTAAGAGGTCCTCACCGGTCCAGGCTCTGCTGGCCCAGGACCTGGCCTTGGGGCTGGAGACCAGGATTCAGAGTGGAACTGAGGACCTGAGGGTGAGAATCCTGGGGGTTGGGTTCTGGCCAGGCGTGGCCCCAGGCTCACCCGTCGGGGCTGTGCCGCAGCAGGGCACCCAGCTCAAGGCGGGGCAGATGCTCAGCTTCCTCCTCCAGACAGCGGAGCAGCTCCTGGCCCAGCGGTGCCACCGCCTCGGAGGTGGGGACCATTTTTCGCTGAACCAGAGCCAGCATCTGTGGGGAAGGGCCGGATGGAAGGGGCAGCCTGAGGCACCCAGCCCCACCCTATGAGACCAGGCCGCACCCAGCCTTCGGCCCTCACCTCTCCGGGACTCTGGCTCAGGCGCGTCTTGCTGGCTGAGTTGCCCTTGATGAGCAGGCGGACCTGGTCCTGTGTCTCCTCCTGGACCCCGAGGCCAGAGAGGCGGGCCGTTACTCCTCCCCGCCACATCTGGCCTCGCCCATCCCTGTGCCTGGGACTTGTTTCTTGGGGTCTCAACCTGGGAGCCTGTCACTGCGCCCCACCCCCCAGGAGCCCCAGGTTTGGGGCAGCGGGGGCTGCCAGCGTTCCAGCCTCTCTCAGGCCCTGCCACCTCCCACCCACCTCTCACCACGAGCTGGCGCCAGTGCAGAACCCGCTGCTGTTTGGCCTGTAGCTCCCGCAGCAAAATCTGTCGCTGCCCAGTGGCCTCCTCCAGCTCCTGGCTCTGGGCCCGCAGGGACTTGAGCTCAGCCCTCAGGCCACAGCACCGGAGTCCCAACACCAATGCCTGTCTGGGGTGTGGGCAGAAGAGAGCAAAGGAGAGGACGGTCACGGCCTGGGGGAGAGCCCCCGCAAGGTGCACAGGGGCTACCACTGAGGAGGCAAACCAGGAGAGGAGGGAGCAGAGAGGGGTGTCACGGGGGCAGAAAGTCCACTCCCAGAGACCCCTGGGAGAGCGAGGGCCAGAGGCTCTGCTGGCGGAGTCCCCTCACCTCTCTTTGGACTCCAGGTTACAGCTCTCCATCTCTTCCATCAGGGCTTGGAGGCGCTGGGTCAGGACTTGATGTTCTTTCAGGAGGGGGGCCCGCTGGGCGACCAGAACACCTACAGCTCGCCAGCCCTCCTGGGACAGGGGTCGACAGTCAGGGTGGGTCTTGGGATGGGAAAGGATGGAGCCTGGGGAGCGGCCTGGGGCTCACCTGGATGAGCTGTACTATGGACGGCAAGGCCTGGTGGGCGTCTGACTGGTCTGGCACCTGAGACCTGGGGGTGAGGGCAAGAGCGCTCAGAGAAGAGCCCTGTCCTCCGGCCGGGGCCCTTGGGGGTGGCCAATGTCAGCCCATTGGCCAGACTGGTCGCTGGCTTTCAGTTCCGCCCCCACCAGCAGGCCGCTGTGCCCACTCCTGCCCTGTCCCAGTCGCCTGCCACCCGCCCTTGCTGTGGGGGCAGTGCGCGCCACACCTGGCTGTCTCTGTCTCTGGCAGCCCCTCCTGACTGCAGAGGGACCGGATCTCTGCCTCGCGCTCTGCAGCCAGGTGCTCCAGGGCGGCCAGGATGTGGCCCGGGGGGTGAGTGGTCAGCAGCACCTGGTGGGGAAGTGAAGGCAGGGCAGGATGGCATCAGGGCTTCGAGTGGGGCCCCGTGGGGGAGGGGTCAAAAGTCAGGTCCCGGCGCCCGCCCTGGGGTTCGATCCTGGGGCTACAGGATGTGGCCTTTCCCGAGAGCCCCCTCGTACCTCCACTGAGCTAAGCCACTGCTGGTAGGATGCTCCAAAGTGGTCATCTTGAGGGGTTCTGTGGGGCCGGGAGGCGGGAGAGAATGTCACAAGACCCATGGTTTCTCCTTAACGATCACCACCACCCCAGAAGGTAGTGCCTGTCACTGTCCCCGCTTATACTGAGAAAACCAAGTCCATCTGTACCTGCCAGACTGGAGTGCCCCCAACACCGACTGGCTGGCGTTGGGGCTTTGCGCGTGGGTGGGCTCTTGATCTGAACACACTCAACATTTTACCCTTGGAAGCCTCCCACCTGGACGGCGGCTCCCCGCCTCCCGAGCCAGGCAGGGCATCTCTCTGGTAGCCAAAAGCTCTCGGGCTGTCCCACCCCGCATCAGCCCTATCTGTGAGGACCTGCCTCCTGCTCTACCCAGCCTGGGAGCCTGCTGAGCGCGGGGCCCGGGGCTGCCACAGCCCAGAGACTCAGTGTCTGAGGAACTAACAGAGGAGTGTAACTCCCAGCAAAGTCCGGGTTCTGTGCAGGGTGTCGGCAGACAGAGGGACACGCACCGGAGGCTGTCTCCCTGAGACTGAGGAACCAGGAGCTTCTGCAGGAACTCAGCCCGGAGGGCGCAGGCTGCTCTGACATCACTCTGGAAAGAAAAGGATGGAATGTGTCAGGGAGGAGGGAGAGAGAGTTGGGGGGGAGGGGGTCCACCTGACCCCAGACCCCCAACTTCTCCTCTATGACCCAGGACTCTTACCAGGACCACAGGCTCCAGACCCAGGGTTGCTGAGGTCAATGGGCCGAAGGTCACGTCCACTTTGGTCTTCCTGGAGAGAGAGCAGTTGGGGCTGTGGCCCTCCTGCTGCCAGTGAGGCTAGTCACGGGCACCACTGAGCCTGGGGCCGCCTCCTGGCTGGATGGCTGCACCCGCCACCCACTGCTCCCCGTGCAGTCACCCCGCAGTCTGTGTTCTGCCCAGCAGTTGATGACCTTAACCGCATGGGTCATCACAGTTCTGCTCAAAGCCCTTGCAAACAAGGGGCCATGTTTCCGACACTCAGAATAGGGACAGTGGTAACCTAACTCCCCTCCAGTGACTTTCAGTGACTCCCCTTCAGTGACGATTTAATCACCATTCTGACGCGACGAGGAAGGTCTTCCTGGGGGCCCATTCTGAGGGTTACACGCCGTCAGTGGCCAAGCCAGGGCCTGAATCCAGCCTCAGAGTAGAGTCCAGTGCTCCTGCGGCTCCGGCCCGCCTCTCCAATCCCACCTCCACATGCTCTGTTCTCTCACCCGGAAAACATAAGCTGAACTGGCTTCCTGGTTGTTCTTTCCACAGGCCAAGTTCACCCTCGGCCTCTGCTCTTGCAAAAATTCTTCCTTCAACTCAAATGTTGCCTCCTCAGTGGGCCCTCCTGTGGCCACCTCCCCCCGTTCTGTAAGAGCATCTCCTCGGCCAGTACTCATCTCTCGCCGCAGCTCTGGCTTGTTTGCTTCCTCCTACACATCCATCTCTGTGCTGCGGGTAGGCCGCAGGAGGGCGGGGCCGTCCCTTGCTCACTGCTCTTTCCCGAGCGAACCCCGGTGTTCTAGAGACCTCACTGGCACCAAACACTTTGAAATACGGAGAGAAAGATAAAACGGTAAAAAGAAGGCCTAAAACATTCTGACTCTATGATGGGACTCAATTCTCTGGTCTTTCAGCTTGTCACACTTGTCATTCTTTCTCCCTGCAAATAAATCGACGTACCACTGGTACCCTTCTGGCACTAGAAACCAGGTGGCTGAGATGACAAACTTTCTTGGCCTCACGGGCTTTAAATCCTAAGGCGTTCAGAATTCTGAACCCAAGAAGGGCCGAGGATGGAGCACTGGGACTCTAAGGAGAACAGCGGTCTGCCGGGCTGGGGCAGGCTGGCCCCAGGGCGCCTGCGCTCACCTCTCCACGTCCTGCAGGCACTTGAGTTGATTCTGCAGTCGCTGCACGGGGCCCTGGAGCCTGCGCTGCTGTCTTCGCAAGGTCCCCGCGTGGGCCTGAAGGAGCAGAGTGCGACGCTGCGTCTCCTGCAGTCTCTGTAGTGCCTGTTCCATGGCTGTGTCTGTTGGAGGATGGGGGTGGCCATCAGCACCTCCCTTAGCCCTGTTCTGCTGCCCGTCTTCCCAACCCGGTGAGTCACCCTGAGCCTCGGTCTCTTGCTCCATCAGCTCCAGGCTCTGGTCCAACTCCTGGATCTCTGCCCTCAGGCGGGCAACAGTCGCTTCCAGCTCCAACTTCTGACGTGCCTGGTGGGTCCAGGTACAGGGTCAGGTGCACATGCTGGCTGTGGCTCGGCCTGACCTGACTGCCCACAGCAGGACACTAGTTTCCTCAACTGCCAGGGGGGTGGCACAGGGTTTTTCCTAAGCAGATTCTGTGTCTGAACTTCTAGGCTCAGAAAAGTACTGGGACCTCCTCCGCCAGAGGATTGCCCCACCTACCCTCCAGCCTCTTTCCTGCCTCTGCACGGGTAACACATCTCTGTCCAGGTATACTCTCCCCACTGAGTTCCACATATAGGAGTCCCCAGATCTCCTGAAAGTGCCCCCACTATGTGTCACCTGGGCCCTTGTACTCAACAGATCACACACTGGCCTCAGTATCTGTCTCAAATGTTGTCTTGTCTCATCTTCCCTCCACCAACTACTTCAGTGGCTCCCAACCATGTCTCCTCTCCCCACCCCCCCAAACCTCCAGCTTGTGCCTGTCTCTCCCTGGCTAATAAATGTGAGTGCAAGGATCAGGGCTGTCTTATGAGGCAGGGTCCCCCTGCGTCACCCAGCACAGGCTGGGCCTACAGTGGAAGACTTATGTCCTTTTTTGGGGTGAAAGATAACATGCTTCTCACCTCTGGACTGTCCTGGTGGCCGTACCTGAGGACATGAAGTCAGAGTCAGGGAATGACAGAGGCTTTGGAGGGGTTGGGGCGGGGGGAGACAGAAAGCGTGAGGCTTTGGGTAGGGTGAGGGTTGATGGGACTGGGGAGAGGCGGGATAACTTTGCAGGCCAGTTACCAGAGTAGGTTTCCCCGGATCTTCTTGATAGTTCTACGGTAGAGAGGTTACTGGGTTACTGTGGAAGTGGCCTGTGTCCTCCCCCCTCCCCCCAAGCCTTCCTCCTGCAGCTGGCTCACCTCTGGCTGCGCACGTGCTGCATGACATAGGTCCAGATGTCAGCTCCCTGGCCAAGGCACAGCCTGTGGGGGGAGTATGGGTGTGGCTGGGGCATCAGCACTCATTCTCAGGGAGAAGGTGGCCAGGAAGGCCATTATTAGGAAATTGAATTAAGCTTCTAGGGAGAGAGAGGATGCATACTTTTTGGGGTAAGATACTCCCTCCTGAGTAGTGCACAGAGGGAGAGCTTCTCACTGATTGTGGGGTATTTTACACTCCCTTCCTGCTGGGATAGGGTCATCTCCAGGCACTTCCAGCAGTGGGGAGTGAGTGCAGGAACGCACATTCATTTCCAGATGGGGGCCAGCAGCCTACAGAGTCAATCTCCAATAGGCGTTCTTTGCTGACTCAGGAGCTTCCACTAGCTGGGGTGGGGATGGGGTGGCCGTGGGGGTTGGGTGGAATTGCTGCAGGGGAGCCTTACCATGGAGATCGTACTTCCACATGGGAAGGGGGGTTCATTAACTTCCAGAGGATCCTCACAGGTGACAGGGATCTCGCTCTGGCGGCTTGGGGGGATGGGGGTGTGAGGTGGGGTGGGGCTCAAGGGTCAGCGCCAGGGCGTCCTCACCCAGACGTCCTCCGTCCAGGGTCCTCTCCCAAAATATACTGCTCAAGGGAAGGGGGCTTCCAGGGGTCATTCTCAAGGAGCAAGATGGGGCGGGGGAGAAGGTGCGTCCTTACTGCGGGGTGGGGTTCTCAGTGCCGGAGACTCTATATCCAGGGTGGGGAGACCTCATTCCCAGAGGGGCTCTCACCTGCGCAGCGTCGATTCCGAGACTCGGAGGGCTGCGGGCATCCCCATCTCTTCGGCCGCCCAGCAACCCAGTTCCCGCGCTTTCTGCATTAACTCCATAACAGCGCCGAGCCACCGCCTCCCGCACCCTCTTCAAGTGTGGCGCCCGCCGATGACGTCTCACGCGCCGTCTCTGACGTCACGGGTTGCCGGGCAGACCACGGGCCCCTGGCTCTGCGCTGTCTCGGGGCTCTACAGCTACTCCACCTGGCTGGGTCCCCGCGCGAGTAAATGGAGCGGCAGTGAAGAAATCACGCTTGATTTCCACGCCCCGGCCACCACCTACTGCCTCCAAGAGGCGATAGATGGCTTCATGCCTCCCTGGGGTTGCCCCGCGATAAAGGGGGACTTTCAGCCGAGGCGGGCAAGATCCAGGCTCGGAGATGCTCGTCTGGTTCAACATACAGCTCTTTGATTTTTGAAACAGATGCGGGACAGGATTCCTAACACGAACCGGTCCTGTGTTGGGGGGCACCTTAGTGGCCGAGACATCCCCAATCTCTACGTGAGGAGCTCACGGTTCAGGAGGGACATAAACATGTCACCAAGCAGGGATGGTAGAAAAACAGGCGGGAGCGAGCCAGTAGAGGATACAGTGAGTCTGAGGTCCGTGGGGTGCCCCAGAAAGGGCCGGGTACTAGGATTGGGGAGCCCCTAGACTAGGACAGCCATCTGGATGCACTTTGGACGTAGGTGTGAGGCCCAGAGTAGAGAACACCCCGAGAAATGGCCACATTCAGGGACCTTTCATTCACCACGGTTGCACAGCTCGCCACTCTGCCCTCCATGTCCAAGACAGAGACTGACTCTCTGAACAGACGCTGAATAAACAAACGGAGGAAGAGAAGGTGGTGGGTGAGATTAAAGCTGGGAACCCAAGGAGGAAGAGGGAGCAGGACGAGGAATGGGGAGCAAGGACCATATTAAGCCGAGGTAGAAGTGGTCTTAAGTTTTTACCACATTACTTTGAGGTGTGAAACCTTATTACCATGAATAGCCAGAGACGATTTCATTTTCTTTGTGTGTATCCCCAGAAGTATTATTTTGATTTGTTGGGGGAACAATCACACTGGTGGTACAAATTTGCCTTCCCAGCAACAGCACACAAGATGCAGTTTCAGGCCAAGACTTACTTTTTTTTTATTATAATAGTTTATTTTTATATCATTTTGTGCCTTTTCCCATCTCAGGTGTAATCTCCGTGGGCTTCCCTGGTGCCATCACCATTGTCCTGTGCACTGCCCCCCACCCCATTTTGATCCCATTCCCCACTCCACCCCCATAAAATGTCTCTGGTATATAGTTGTTCATTATTATTTTCTCTTATGGTCCGTTATACTCCTGCTATGAGTGAAACCATCTGGTATTTTTCTTTTTCTTTCTGGCTTATCTCACTAAGCATGATCCCTTCCGGCTCTATCCATGTTGCTGCGAAAGGCATGGATTTATCTTTTTTGATTGTAGAATATTACTATGTTGTGCATATGTACCACATCTTTTCAAAAATAATATAACCGTTTATTTTTACATCATTTTTTGTATTTTTTCATCTCAGTTGTTATCCCCATGGGCTTCCCATCACCAAATCACCCATGTGCCATCACCATAGTCCAGTGCATTTCCCTCCCCCCACTGCTTTTGATCCCATTCCTCACTCTACCTCCTTAAAATGTCTCTGGCATATAGTTGTTCATTATTCTTATTATCTTCTCCCCTGGTCCTTTATACTCCTGCTATCAGTGAAACCATCCGGTATTTTTCCTTTTCTTTCTGGCTTATTTCACTAAGCATGATCTTTTCCAGCTCCATGTTGCTGCAAAAGGCATGTGTTTATTTATTTATTTTTTGGCTGCTAAGTAATATTCCATTGTGTGTATGATATGTACCACATCTTTTTAATCCAGCCATCTACTTTTGAGCATTTGGGTTGATTCTGTGTCTTTCCTACTGTAAATAAAGCAGCAATAAACATGGGGGTGCAGGTATCTTTTTGAATCAGTGTTTTTGTGCCTTTTGGGTAGATACCTAGGAGTGGGATTGTTAGGTCATATGGAAGCTCCATGTTTAGCAGTTTGAGGAGCCTTCAAACAGTTTTCCATAGTGGTTGTACTAATTTGCATTCCCACCAGCAGTGCAGGAGAGTTCTTTTTTCTCCACATCCTCACCAGTACTTGTTTTAAGACGTTCAGGCCAAGACTTTTAATAACAAATGGGGCTTCTCTATTCTTCTTTTTATGCCTGCATTCAAAGGACTCTGAGTTCGTAGAAGAGGCACCATCACCAATCAAAGGGAGTCTGAATCTCTGACTTAATACTTGCACCACAGAGATACCAACGTTACAAGGTTCTGTGAGTATGAAATAAACACTTGTTTTTTTAGCCTCTGAAATATACAATATAGCTTCCTCATTGCCCACCACCCAGGCATCTCCAACTATTTGTGGGTGTCAAGTAGAACCCATTTATCTGCTCTCTTTAATCTGTATGGGTAGATCCTTCTGGTCTCTACCTGCTAAGCAAGACAGATCTTTTACTCATATGCTTTGATGTCATGGCAATGTCAAATTGCCGTAAGGCTCAAAACACTGACAATTTCTTAACTTCTTGTAGCCCACTGTGATGTCAGCACTAGCATCGATTTCACTTATCATCCTCTTTATCTTGTTTATTCTGAGGTCTATTTGTTTATGCTTTTTTTTCTGCTGCTAGAATATAAGGTCCATTAGAAAGGGATCTTATGATTTTGCTCTGTTGACTTCCTAGTTCTTAGATGAGAGCCTGGTACATTGTAAAGTAGGAAGTATTGTTGAATGATGACTAACTCTCAAGTGTGGTGAGTGAGTGGGGGACAGAAAACAACCATAATTGCTTCTAGAAACTCTATAATCATAACCTGACTTGAATTCTAGCCAGTTCTCTGACAGCTAATGACTCTCTGGCTTTCTAACGGGCCACACAAATGCAGATTGACTTGGCCTCTTAAAACTTAAGAGGCCTGTGTTTGTCACATCTGACTGGACCAATTTCAACCATCAACGTCTGTCTCGCTCCCTATTTTATAAGGGACTTGGGTCTGAAGTGGTCACTACCATGTCCCCAGAGTCAGGCAGTGCAGTGCAAAGCTTTCTGTTGACATAGTATATTCGTGTCATGAAAATATGACTGAGGGGCCCACCCTGGTGGCACAATGGGTTACAGCACAGCACTATGAAGCTATCTGCAACCACTGCCGCACGAGTTTGATCCCCGCCTGGGAGCTGACCCACAAGGCGCAGCAGACCTCTCCTGTCTCGCCCGCTGCTCCCCTCAGCAGTGTACTTCGTCGCTCTGCCTGTTCTGCTTCCCACTTTGTCTCTGGTGAAGCCTCTCACCCCCCTGCACCTCTGGCCTGTACCCAGTTCTTGTATGCATAAATAAATAAATCTTACCAAAAAAGGGGAAAATATGACGGAATAGGAGGGGAGTCTGCCTCAGGAAGCAAGCCCTAGCGTGTCTCCTCCAGAGCCCGTTTTGTGGAGGGTTTGAAGGTTGGTCTTGAGCGCTGATCCAGTGGGCTCCCTGAGCTGGCTCTTCCTTCCCCCAGCAGTGACATCAGGATGGTGACTCAGGTGGCACTCCAGACATCAAGGGGCAGGTATCCCAAGTGGCCCAAATGTATACTTACAGTCTAGGTAAGGAGCACATAGTTGTATTTCATGGCTTGTTCGTGAGTTGGGGAGAAGTTAGCGAGATAAAAGCTCTGCCGTGATGTAAACAATGAAGCTGAGTATGACGACGCTTCCCAGGATAACCCCGGTGAGTGCGATGTAGAAAGTTTGGTGGGAGGTCTCGACTGCTAAGAGTCGGTCATTCCATCTGTTGAAGAGCCTTGTCTGAGTTTGCAGGGAAAGGGGGGACAGAATAGATGGATTTAGAGGATTACTGGTTGTAGGTAAGCCATGGAACTATGAGGATGGGGATGGGGATTTAAACCCACAGGAGGGAGGGCCTTCTTGGTGGCGCACAGGTTAAAGCACAGCACTGCAAAGCTAGCTGGATCCTGCACCCCAGAGGTGACCACATGGCCCAGCAGACCTCTCCTGTCCCTTCTGCTGCTCCCCTCAGCAGTGTACTCCATCCATCTGCCTGTTCTGCTCCCCACTCTGAATCTGGTGAATCCTCTCACCGTCCCTGCACCTCTGGCTTGTACCCCAGTTCTCTATGCATAATAAATAAACCTTAAAAATATGATCAGGGTCAGGGCAGGAAGGAGAGGGGACAGGGAGAGAGGATTGACAGGACACAGATAACCACCTGGATGGAGAAGATCAATGCTATAATGCCGATGGGGAAACACAGAAAGAAGGCCAAAAGTGACAGGCACATGTAGTCTTTGGGCGGCTTGCCAGGGAACAGCCTAAACACCTGGGGGCAGAGTGTGGGTTATGGCTCAGTATGGCTTCTGACTCTACTGCCCGCTCTGAGCTACTTCCTTTTCATGCTCATACTCTTCTCCCTGACTCCCATAAATTCATTAACTCCCTTCAAAACGCTCATTGACTCCTTGAAGCTCAGACGTTCTTCTAACATCTCCCTATCTCTTCTACCACTTAGAAATCCTAGCTTCTACCCTGCCCTGGAACCCCTGCCTGTTATAACCTGATGTCGGGCTTCTTCTAGCTCTGTTTTCCAGAACTCCTTCACATGTCTCTCTTGGCCCCTTTCTGCTGACCCTCTAAGATCCCTTACCAATTCTGATGACTCTTTGTCTTCCCTAAAAATCTCAAGTGACCCATTATCATACTTCATTCCAATAACATCCTCATGGTCCCCCACAGGAGCCTTCTCATTGCTCTCACAAAACACCCCACTAAGGGAACCCTCACAGAACACTTTCACACTCATACTTTTCATCTGCAAAACCTTGATTGGCCCCTAAACTCCAGCTTATACAACTTCTAATGTCTACCTTTGCTCTCTCTCGGCCCCTTTTATAATGTCCCTCACTTTGTCCTCAGGGACAAAGTCCTGCAATGGATCTTACTGTTCATTCATTAACTCCTCCCCTCCCTGCCTCTTCCCTCATTTGGCCCCTCTAAGA